GAGAGAGAGAGAGAGAGAGAGAGAGAGAGAGAGAGAGAGAGAGAGAGCGAAAGGGAGATGAAAAGATGTTTGCTATCATATTCTTGAATGTAGCACATTTTTCCTTATTTTTCACATAGAAAAATCGCATTCAAAGCGTTTATAAACGTGGATTTTCATTACTTCTTTTCGGTTTGCGTTTTTATTCTATCAGTTCTTAAGTGATACGCCAAGAATGAGAAATGAGCGAACATTTTGCGGTTGGCTAGGAAGACGACTACGACGACGACTGCTGCTAAGAAGCTATTGAATATGGCTTTCTCTATCTATTTCTTAAGATCCGTGTAGAAAAACTCGATGCTGAAGCAATGCGAGCAAAAGTGTTCGAGAAAATGGTATGTAGCAAAAGCTAATATGTATTGGCCTGGATAAAAAAAAGAAACGAAAATGAAAAGAAGCGAATTAAATGTGATAGTGCAAACAAAGTTGTATGAAGCAAAGTAACCGGAAAAAAGCCAATAAGGAGCGAGAGCAAAAGAGCGGGATGCAAACAACGTGAACGAGAATGTAAGGGGATGGAGCGGTAGCAAATAAACAATAAAGAAAAAGAAATTGAATGAATGTGTGTTTAAATGGATCTTATGCGCCATATTCCATACAAAAGTAATTTGTGCAAATGGAATAAAAACATCGTTTCGCACACATACACATGCACGCCCGCCCAAAGAGCAAACACCATACATATACTCAAAGAAAATAACAAATTGAACGCAATAAAGTTGTGGCACTAGATAAATGTCTTCGGGCGAACGATTTAAGTTTGCTTTTCTTCGAATTTTTCTTCATTTCTTTGCTTCATGATTTCAACTACCTAACCATTCCGGCATCATCACCATTCCAACATTTCATTCGCATTTGGCGCCTATGTTGCACAACTTTTTCCATTTTCATAGAACCAACTGCCGTCGATCTCTATCTCTTTCGCCCCCGTTTGTAACACAATCTATCAAACTCAAAAGCAGATTGAATAGAATTAGAAAAATATATGACGGCCTAAGAAGAAAACAATAACATACAGAATATTCTGCAAAAAGACGAATACAAATTTATGTGAGCAAAAACCAAATATACAAACAGACAGCGCAAAGGTAAAACAGCCTACTTACATAAGAAACACATGTAAGTAGGCTGTTTTACTTTTGCGCTGTCTGTTTGTATATTTGGTTTTTGCTCACATAAATTTGTATTCGACTTTTTGCAGAATATTCTGTATGTTATTGTTTTCTTCTTAGGCCGTCATATATAGTATGATTTTGTCAGTATGTGTGTTCACAAATTGAAAGTTGCAATTTTTTTTTCCATTCTCTGTCTCTTCTTTCTTGATTTTCACTTAATCAATTTGATTTTTTCGCTTTCGCAACGATTTCATGATGCTATATATTTATCCTGTCGGTGGTGTGTATCATCGTCATCATATAAAAACGACACAAAAAGCGTCTCTTTCTCGGCTATGTTGTGTTATGAATGAGAGATAAATAAATAAACCTTTTGATATCATTTTTACCACTCACTTACGTCAGACGAACCATTCAATATACAGTGCACAAAAGACGCACCCAACTTTTTCCATCACATACACACACTTTTTTATTCTCATTTCTTCGTTCGTTCTCATTTTTCACGTCGCGATAAGTTGTTGTTGTTGTTGTTTTTATGTCCATTTTTGCGCGCTCTTCAGTTTGTTTGGTGTTTCGTTCAATTTGTGTGTATTAAATAATAAATTAGCTTCAAATTGAAATAATTCTGTGAAATTGTTTACATTATCCTTGGACCAAACGAAACGAATGTTGTATGTATGTGCACGAGCCTGAATTATGATGTTAAGAGGTTGCAATTCAATTCCAGACCGAGCGAAATCCTTCTTATGTGCGTTTTTATATTCAAAATATGATAAAAGAACGGCATAATACTAAATCGATTCCCTCATCATGTGGAACGGTGTATTCAATTTAATACACTCAAAACGAGAATGGGGAGATGCTGAAACAAAAATGTTGTTAAAAAAAGAATCATCAACATAAAATGTCGATTTATTTGAAAAAAGGGGTTTCGATGTAAACGTAAACCTTTACCGAGCAGAAAATAAATCCTTATCTAATTTCGATCAAATCCAGTCTATTCAATCTTCATTTTTTAGTGAAAAAAAAAAGAATCAAGCAGAAAAATGATCGAACTCAATTAAGCCAAATTTTGTATGAAGCAAAAACGAAATGAAATATAACTAAAACGAAATTTCACTTTCAATGCATAAATAATTAGAAGAAACGTTTCACTTTCAATTTGCGCCGAGAATGGCTTTCATCTCGTTTTTCCACATCAAGCAATTCTAACACAGTGAATGTGTACACATGTATTCCTGTTCACACGTTGACGATATGATGCTGAAGTATGCAGCACACAACAACACATTTCATAAATTGGATAGCAAAGTTAATTAGGCTTAAGCAATCAAAGTTCTTCATATATACAATAGCACGTTCACTCACATGGTTGAAGAGGGTGACAGAGAGAGAGAGAATGAGCCAAATTGAAAATTGAATGGATTTTTCGTTAATACATCATTATTAGTAAAATAGAGAGTCTTTATTTGTTGATGCCATTGCCGTATTATAACAATGGGGGTATTCTGCTCATTTGTCCGATTTATTTTAGTCGATCGGCGAGAAAACGAATCGTGTGTCTGTCGAAAACCTATTATCACCACAAACTCGTAGAAATTCAATCATATTTTTACTGTCATAACAACATCTCTCACTCTATCTCTCCTTCGTCTCCGCCAAGCGTTTGCCATGTAATTTCATAAATGATAATTTATTAAAGTAAGTATTAAAATACCATTTTGGAAGCTAAAACACACCGAAAACATCATTATGAGAATGAGCGGATTCCATCAACGGAATACACAAGTGGAGCGAACAAACGAATCAACACGAAATTCAAAATAGTCTACCCCCTCGGAACCAACAGCCAACGAACGACGAAAAAAAAGAAGTGCTCTGTGTATAACAAATCACATGCATACAAAATTATTAGCATTATATTGTGTGTGTGAGAGAGAGGGAGCTCCAAGATTAATCCCGGCATAAGCAATAAATTAAGTTGTTTGTGTCGATCGGCATGCTTGTGGCAAAATTGTGTTCGTGCGACGTTTGTTGCTTTCGAACAATAAATTTAAGTTGTACGCGCTCGCTCCTTCGCCCATTTATACTCTCTTCCTTCTCTTTGTGTCTTCAGCATTTACTCGGGTGGTTATCATGGAAGCACAGCATCCATATACAAACGGATATCCATGTCTTATACATAAGGATGCTGTTTCTATATGATAATATAAGCATCCATGTGTACGAATGTTGGTGTACATAACAACGTGCACCCGCGTCGTGCTATAACTTAGTTACATTTTTCATTTGCCACTGAAAATTGTATAGACATTTATTTCATTTGGTATCTCATTTTCCAATGTTATTCACGGATACACATACACACCACTCTCACCCGCTCACTTGCTACAGATACACACCGAAGCCGAACCAAAGCAATATTATTATATCGTTTTCAATTCACTTAATTTTCCGTTTGTATGAACAAATGTTGTATGTGATGAGACAGAAGTGAAGACAAAAAAAAAAGCTCGGAAACCGAGTGAACAAACCTGAATTGCAAACGTATACATTCATACAGGCAATCGGATGGGAGAACAGACAAAAAGAGGCGGAGTCATTTCGAGAGAGAGAGAATGATATTCGGTTGTACAATGTGCACAGACTCGCCTGTAGCCCCTAAGTGGTGGATGTGATGCGTTGCGCGCATTAAATGTAGCAAATGAAAGAGAGTGAGAGAAAATTCCGAAATGATGGTGCGAGAGTTTAAACCCCTCGTCAATCGGCACTGATTTCATTCGAATAAGACTATAACAATGGTTGATCTTTCCAGCCGAAGGATAGAAAAATCTCAACATTGTTTCAACGTTGAAATACCACCACCACCACCACCATCATCATCATCACTAACACCATACATACACATATTCAGCCGGCAGCATTTTTTCCCATTCGCACCACCCATATTCCAAGTCCAAGAAAAATTGCACTCGTCGAGTGTATGTGTGAGTGAGTGTTCATTGAAATAATAATAAAAAGAACACACCGAGCGTAATGCTGTCGTTTCTATCAAATAAAAACGGGCATTGAGTGAGAAAAAAGCGAATAATCGAATGTTAAGAGACACACAAGCGTGCTATGCTCTTGTTTTCGATGGTTGTGTGCTTATTGCAATATACTGTTGAACTGAAGCGCACACACGTATACATGTGTGTATGTACACACAACCGCTCCTCTCTCTCAATATCATCTAAATAAATTGATTTTGATTCTTCGGCATCGTTTTGGGCTTTGCACGTCTAAGCACTCGATTGACGCGATTGTTTCATTATTGTTATTGCTGCTGTCGTTCCATGTGCACACGATTCTTTTCATCGAGTTACTCTTTTTCGTGTGAATTTTGCTGCATTTTCGTGTGTACATTTTGGCCGTTAGATAGTGTCTTCGAACACCAAATTTGTTTTATTTTTAATAGTTAATACAGCATTGGATGTTTTTTATAGTGAAATTCATCTTACGGTGCAAATACATTTTTTCATCATCCCTGAAATTGTTAAGTGTTTTGAAGTTTGAAAAAATTATTTAAAAACATTTACGTGGAGTAGTAACTATATTTGATGGTATATTAAAAACGAACAGATTAACAATTGAGATAAAGTAAAAAAAAAAACACATAAATGTAAAATAATTGAAGACAAAGATACAAAGTTTTCAAAATAGTTCGCACAAAAAATTTAAATTGATTTAAGAAAAGGATAAATTAAGACATAAGTGTAAAGTGATATTAAAATCAAGTATTTAAACGGGGGACAAGGAAACGAATTGATTCACATTCGTTCAGTGAGAGCAGTGTCATTTTTAGTTTATCTGGAAAACAGCGACGGGAGATCGATCCCGACGCGCATAAAACAAGCCCAACCATTTTCACCGACGGAAACAAGGTAAACCATACAGTTTCAATCGACTGAAATTAATTCTTTGTTTGTCCGAGGAACTATTTCGATTTAATATAGATTTCCTTTCGAATTAATTCAAATCACCGAAATCAGAGACATCCCGATCACTTTTGATTCGAATCATCACGAAATCAAGATTCTTCAAACAAACAATGTTAAACATTGAGTTTACCGCACATTTCTTAAAGTATTGACAGATTTTTTTCAAAATTCAAAAAATGTTCAAATTTTGTCAGAAAAAAATGGATCGATTCATCAAAAAATGTTCCAAATGGATGTTCACCTCAATTATTCAAATAAATTGATTCAATCACTTTGAAATCAGTTTGATAATGTACTTAAAATCCAATGCAATCGCAAAAAACCCAAAATTGTGCATGCCTGTCAATTGATATATTTGGTCGAAAAACGACTAATTAATGACAAAAAAATCAAAATATTGGTTCATAAACCAAAATGACAAATAAATGAGTACAGATTGGATATTTAACGGGATTTTTTTATATTCATTTATTCGCTCCTAATCGGATCAGCAATATTCATGTTTTTTCGCATTCAAATTATTTATTTAAATGTAATTCATTAATCAATTAACAAGGTTGTTCGCATTACGAAAATTGATTTTAAATAATTAAAATGTGGTTGAATCAACGACAATCAACCATAATAAACAACAACAACAACAAAGTATTTGTGCGAAATTGGAATGAATGCAACAAATTGACCGTGCATAAATGTGATTGCAGCTGCAGAAAAAAAACGATGACATCGGTGACGGCAACAAGCGTATTTAAATTGTAAAAAAAACGTAAATTTAAATGCGACTATCAAACGAGCGTATACAAAATTACATGAACCGAATGTTAATATGCTTATTTATATAGGGAAGTAATTATCGGGAAAATGATTACATAACGATCAAATTAATGTTGAAAAAATCCCTTATTATTCATCGTGATGTTTGCACTCGCGCTCTATGAGTATGTCATTCGTCCGTGATTTAATCTGTGTCCATTCGACCCCGTTGGTCAATCGAGCTCTTTTAACACGAATAAAAGATAGAGAGCAAACACATGTATGTATGGATTTTAATTCACTTTACCATTCATATACCGGATAAAACCTTTCCGCAGGTGGCGACATATTATGCATCATTTTCATAATAAATGGACTTAACTCTCATGAATTTCGGTTTGGAAAATATACACTAATTGAAATCCGCTTTCAACACACGGACATGCACACACTCATCGTATAGCATAAAAATGATGATCATGTGAAATGGAAAATTAAATCAGAGCCATAGAGAGAGAGAGATAAAGAGGAAGAAAATGAAAAAAGCGAAATGTTCAAAGCGCTTTAATATGTTGAATAATTAATTGAGCAACAGAGTATATCGGAGAAGCTTCCGAATGGATTTGTTTAGAACATGAGAGACAAAAATGTTTTTTAAAAAAAGATCAGAATTTAAATGCTTATCGTTGCTCCCAAAAATACGAGGGAAAAATATTTAATGCCCAAGTTTTAACGACGACTCATTCTTTTTTCATGAATAATGAATGGAATTTGGTGCAAAAATGAAACACAAATTATGAGCGTCTCTTCTGAACTTTTCTTCCAAATTTAATTGACTTCAACACATTTAGCTTTATGTATATTGGATTTCGCCATAACGGTATAACACAATGAGACTTATTTACCATATGGATCAACATCAAGGAAATATTTAAATGTGTGCCATTTTAAAATGTTAAAAGAGAAAAAAAAGAATAATCTAAATCAATTACTCGAGTACCGGCATACAAAATCGGCTGCGCCAATTGCAATTTATGCTTTTGATGAATTTGATAATTTGATATGTAAATTGTTATTATTGTACATGACAAATATTAAACTGTTAAATATTTGAACATAATTTAAAATTGAAAATAAATGACATCGTGCATTTGAAAGCACATGTTATTGAAATATTTAGAGAAAATCAAAAACATACACACACATATTTCAATCGGTATTGAATTGATTGACTTGCAATATAACGTTTGTGCGGAAAATTAGAGAAAATTCCCGATAAATGGCATCATTAAAGTATTAAACAAAATCACCAATTGCAATGTTGAAATTGTTGTAGCCGAATGGTTCACCTCAATCTATCAATCATTCGATGATTATTTTGATATTTTTAACATGAATTCTTTGTGGTGAACGGTTTTGCCGTGCACAAAGCATTCCAATTTATGCATATTTAAATTCGATAAGTTTGATTTCACCGCCGCCTCATTTTCACAATTTTCATTTCAACTATAACGCCAATGGTCCGAATTTAATTTGACACGTTTCTATGAATTTACTTCAATACACGTTTATTTGAACCATTCAAATAAATTCCAAAGAAATCGGTCCGCATTTTGTCGGATTTATCGAGAAATAGTTATACCCAATTTACATAAAATACCCTCGATGTTTTGTAATTAGTATTGAAATTCAGTTTCATTGGAACTTTGGCTATGCGCACATAATCGAATCACTTAAGACAATCAGAAATTATGCAGAACGTGAAATTATTTTGAACTTTGAATTGATGAGCAGAATGAGATTCATGATATGTAACTATTGATTTAAATCATCAAAATGCATTTCGAATAAATATCGAATCGTTAATATTTAATGGGAAATATTTTAAGTTGTTTCTGCAGTTAAGTGAAATAATTTTGCCGAAACAGAAACAAAAATTAAATATGCATAAACCCTATATCGACGATAACGAGTTTTCTTAACGTATTTAAGCATTCCTTCTATGTCTGTTCATATTTAATTGAAAAGATCTTGGATGAATTAAGAACTATTTACACCGATGTCTTATCGAAACTCATTGAAATTTGGAATGTGCAAATATGCGCGATTGAAATAAATAGATTTTGAATGCGAAAATAAAAAGCACTTCCTTTTGTTAAGAGGTCTTTTATATTGAAGGTATGAAAAGATTCAAATCTTCATTTTCAATGGAATTTTCGGGGCATGAATTTTACCACCTTTTGTTTATTGTTTCGCGACATCTTAATTCGGTTTAATTCATTTACCACACTATCTTTGGCATCGTCAACAACAAATGCATACCATTTTATTTTGAGCATTAATGGAAAAGAACAATATTTTAATAGTTTTAATAAATGATTTTTGTTCATTAACAGAATTCGTGTTAACCTCAAGTGTGTCTTGATGTTCAAGTGCAAATTTTGATGCAGACTCATTGTCAAGCTTCAAAAATATTTGAACGTATTCAATGAAGAGAGAAAAAAAACCGAAAAAAAGTTCATTGAAATGCAATTGTGTACGATGCTTGCAAAAAAATGGACACTTCATCAAAACATATAAGGAACATATTTATTTTCGAAATGATAACACCGAATACGCTCGACATTTGAAGTAATATAAATAAATGTGTGTGTGTGTGGGTTGCCACAAAAATATTACGCAAAGACTGTCTTTAAATGATATCCTTCTCAATATAAAAACCATCAAATGTCACGATGAAAACGAAAGAAATTTTTGATAGAATCCCTTTGAGAGTTGAAATAAAATCGAAGTCTAATTCAATTTTAGTATGTTCAAAATGGGGAAAATTCAAAAATCTAATTCTTTCCGTATCAATTTCCATTTGGAATTTTTGATGAAAAATTGCACGAAAAGTGAAACACACCAGAGTATCTGGTTGAGGTAAGAGAGCAGCACGAGAAGATCGGAGAAGAGACGTGTAACCAGATCAAATTACAAAAGCAATCATATAATTGCTGTGTCGCATTTGTTTAACGACTGTCGACTCGTTCCATCTGTTAGTGGCGGCAGCCCAGTAGCCGTGGTAGACAGAGGGCGATATATCACAATATGTGTGTGTGAGTGAGTGTGTGGGAAAGAGAGAACTTGGTAAATTTTGTATTTCATATATGAATATTAAATATTTTGAATTGGATTGGATTGCATTTATCATCATTTAAATGAAATACTGTGTTAGCGACACATTCACCACAGTAAAATGTGTGTATCTTTCGTTTGTTCGGTGCATGTTGAGGTTTTCATTTTTGCAATTTGACGATGTTAATTTTTTAAATGGTTTTCCTCGTTGTTTGCCGAAAAAAAAAAACTGTTTGCACCTGAGATATATGAATGGAAATTATTATTATGAATTGTGTTGACTACAAATCATTCGTTTTTTTTTGCGACCGAGTTGCGCCATTTGTAATGTAATTATTTTGAGAGCCACTTACGAAACCCGCTACAAAATTGTATTTCAAAATCAATTATTAAGAAAGGATTCGTTGTAAATGGGTTTGCGTGAATGGAGTCAACGGAAAACATTTCGATTAATCAGCTTAATTGGTGGCTTTCTATTGCTGGCTTGAGATACCGCACCGATTGTTAAACGATGCCTCGAGCCTTTAATACAATGTCTCTGAATTGTCGAGCCTCCGAATACACATATCTCAGTGCTAGAATGTGTCCGCGCTTATCAATTGACAGAGTAAATAAATATATACGCTGGTCTCCAAAATGATTCGTTGGTGCCGCTCTATTTGAATGTTTCGGTTTGTTTGCAACCATTTTCATTTATTGAATTGAAGAATTAAAAACGAAAATAAATTTATTAAGTTCTATTTGCATCATATTTTTTTTTATCGCTGTGTGTATCTGTGTGTGTTCGAAACAATTTGAATTAGTCGGTCGGTTTGTTTCAATTTTAAATATGTTAAACATAAAGTGAATCAATCGGCATTGCGTTTCTTTTCGTGCATAATAAACGCGCGCGCGCGCATCTAATTCAATTTGATGTAAATTTGTTGGTCTCGCGCAACGACCGAACTAACATCAGCATTCTATCATCAGCAGCATCCAATTGGCGCACGATCGTTAGCTGTACTGTATGGGCACTGTTTTTTTTTTTGTTTTTCATCCATCACAATTTCAATTAATTATTTATGCGCTTGTGTGTCGAAAATTGTCGTGCGCTAAACCGAAATGAACAGTGTGTGAACCAATTAGAAATTACAATAATTTATTGTTGATGTCGATGAAGTGTGCATGTGTATGATGTGTAATTTATGTATGAAACGATGTGAAACAATCCGGTTGGAATGCTGAAAATACAAAGTCCGAGTTGCAAAGAATTTGTGCGAAAGCAGTCATACCCATGGAAATGGCTCCTCCTTTCGAACAAAAAAAAAACACACTAACATGATGAAGTTATGAATTAAGTTGATTAATTAACAATTCATTAGAATAAACCGAAATCGGTGACATCATGCAGCATCACTTCGATTGTAGACAAATTACATGCATGCCATGTCGAATGAATCGAATTAAGTGTTCGAATACACGAACGAGGAATGAAAAAGTTGAAAAGGATGGGGAAAAAGCATTACTCTATAATTTAATCCAAATTGACACAAAGGCAACGAATTGGAGTTGAAAAAATGCGATCGAGTAAAAGAAAAAAAATACTCTTCATTTTCACTGCCGTCAATTTGCAACCATGATGGTCGCCACAATTGCATTTTATTAACTCATTCAACGAAATTTCATCTCTTTGCTGCTTTGCGTTTCAGTTTCTGTCTTTTTCCAACATTTTATCGAGCTATTTCGTTTCAAAATTCTCTGTCAAAAAAAATTGATGGAATGAACATTCCGTAAGTTTATGCATCAATCATGCGATTGCATTAGCTGGGAGTCAATTCATTTATGAAATCGTGTGTTTGCGTTCGCGCGCATTTTTCCATCAAGCGTTTTATCGAGAAAGAGAGAGAGAAAGGCCCAGAGAGTGCTTTTAATACAGTTTTTTTTTTCTTTCTTTAAATTATTTCGACTTTTTTTTTTATTTCGCGAGCGATATTATACGATTTTGACTCGGTTGACATTTCATCAGAGAGGCAAATAATATTCCGAAATTTTTCAACTAATAACACGCGATGAATTGTCCATCATGCATTTCAGTCTTTTACACAACTTCGTTTTTCGTGAAACGAAAAAAAAACACTCTTTTTTATTCATGTATATCATTTCCATAAGTGTCATGTTCGCGTGTATTTTTGAGTGAGACAAAGAGTGAATGAATAAAAGAGCTGCTACAACCCATAGCATCATATATGCTTACACATACCAAATATTTTTGTTTATTAGTTGACGCGGCGCATCAAATTCAATTTACGCTAATTTATAAATATGATGATGGAATTGTTTGATTATGAAATTTATTAATAAAATAAAACAACCATATAATAACCAAACCCAAGCCGTTTCATGCGAATTGAACGCGATACATGAACGAGTGTTCACGTCTGTCTCTCTCTCTCTGTGTGTGTGTGTTGGGCTTTGTTTTCGTTCTACATTTTGATTGAATGGTTGTGTATATGTGTGTGTACGAGTTGCCTTCCAATTAAATTCAATCATTTTTACGGACTTTTAAGCATTCAATTAGATCAATCTTTGTTGATAAATGTAAATTTTTCTTTGTAAGTACAATTCGATTTCGACAAAATGATACGAAAAACATTTTTCTATTTCAAATAATTGGCTAAAGGCGTCGAATTTTTGAGAAAACTGTTAGAACAAGTGGATTCCGCTTTACATGATTCGAATAGCATTAGTAGGAAAGTTGATGAGTCATTCAATGAATAATTATTTGCTAATTCAACGTCGTGCAAACAAATTCTTCCTGCAGTCATTCTGCAATTATTATAATTAAATTTTCACTCTCACATCCCATAAAAAAAATTGAAAAAATTCTTCCGGTCTTCATTTTTCTCACTGCCACCATTTTTTCCTGTATCCTTGCATCAAATGTTCATTCAATTTGCACATGAAATGAGCACAACCGAAATACATTTATATATGCATGCGCATTTGAAGCAATAATAAAATTGAACTGGCCAGTAACGTTTTCATTTCTGTTTGTGACCAATTTTTAATGTCCTCTACGTTAATTACTCGCATGATAAATATAAGAAAGAAGTTTTTGGTGTGAAGTGTTATCATAAGTGTACGAATGCATCAACATTTTACAGGATGAGCAATGATAATAAATCATTTCGCTGAAAATTGACCGGAGAAATCAAATTGTAAACGAAAATTGGCCAAAAGAGCCAACATGCTGAATAAACGAGTGTTCCGAATGCAATTTGAAATCCAAATTAAATTTTATGTATACGATATGCAAAATATTCTATTAAAAAAATTGGCCGCGGCAAATGGTATTAGTTTGAGTTTTATATGCAGTATGCGCACATGTGCACATGTTCCAATGCCATACATAGCATAATTTCAATACTGAGCGCGGTCGTGTTTGCGCCTGCATTGAAAAAAAAACGGAACCAAAATGTACAGCAAGAAAGAGAGCAGATCATTGATATGGCTGAGAGATCACATTAAACCGATATACCAATTCACTGAAAATTAAATCTGCCACAAATTGGTACACGGACTCCATTCACTTCATTCACATCGACCGACACCGACGGCCTTGTCTTTCGTTTTAGGCATGCAAATGGACTCGTGCAAACACAAAATAAGGTCCAATTTCATACATTCATATCATGAATCCGCTCGCAAAATTTGCACAAAATTAGCTTTAATGTAATTTCATTGCATTTGCTTGTTAATATCATTTTCATATGTGCGCTATGTGATTCTGGATCGCTTCTAATTTGTTTCTATCTCTTTTATTCCATCTCCATTGCTCTGCATCTTTCTATGTTGGTTGTTTGCTCTCTTTTTTTCGCTCACCTTTGAAATGTTCATATTTGATAATGCTCTCCCTTTCTGTCTCTCTCACTATCTCTGTTTCACATATAATCAAAAAAGTGCGCGCGCGATCTACTGCTGCAATGAGCAGTTCATTCAGTTATCAGACAATTGTTTCAATCTGTTTTGATGATTGAAGTACGAATGTTTTTGTGTGTGGTTTTCCGTTCATCAAAAACGTCATACAGCCGATTTGGTTGTTGTTAATATTTTTTTGTTACCTTTCTTTGCATACCACACAAATGTTCGGTTTATTGAATCGTGCACTCTGAATTAATATGAAAATTTATTGTTTTGTCTATTTTATTGCAGCTGAGCCCTGCAAACGCAGGTAGAGGAATGTTTTGCTACCATTGTCCACCATCTATACACCCTGCAGGGCCACATCAGCCAAGACTACCAACGCTGGAGTATCCATTTGCATCGACGCATCCATGTAAGTAAATAAACACTCAAAAAGAAATTGGCAAAAGCCCCTGGTTTCATTTGTGTCATAGACTGCTTCCTAAAGTTATTAAGTTTCACAATCTGCGCAGATGTGTATATGTTCTCAAGAACAAACGATTGTGTCGGTCATTAATAATGAACATGCAAATTTCATTTACTAACAAATTGCACATGCAATATGCATAATAGCGCCGTACATACCACAATACAATATGGATCCATGCACATTTATGCCCAAATGAAATTATATCATAATTTCAATTAGCCATGCATTCAATTGCCTCGCACAAATTAGATAAGTAACAACACAATTGGACATGGTGATGATCGTCGATAATTATGACATGTCCGTTAATTAACCAATTTATCTAGAGTTGTATTCACTACGTCGTCGTCATCGCTTACAATTTCTCGTTACGTAGACGACGGCTGGCTTAATAGCAGACGACTCAGAAAGTTTGTTATTTGAAACCCGTGCGGACTTTTTTCTTTTTCGTTCCTTTCCTTCGAATGTCTCGAAAAACAAAGTTTTCATTGGCGATAGATGGATATATAGATGTTCACCCTAAAAATAAATCCCATAATCGAATAATCCAAGTAACGAGGCTTACAAATCAACCACCAATATTCAGGATTCGCAACAAAATACATTCAAACACAAATACCAAAATCCAACGATTTGATATCATTGCGTCGTTGTTCGTGTTAAAAATTTGTCGATTCACTCACCGACAACGTTCGAAACGCCTCCCATTCCACTTCGAATCTTTTGCTTCTTTTTTTTTCTTGTTCATTTGATTCGATGTTTGCTTTTTGGTGTACGCGCGTACACAAGATGAACATCCACATCGTGCACACCATCCATGGCTTACGTTCAACTCGGCGAAAAACCCTTGTCGTTCTTTTAATGCAATAATAGTTAAAAGTTATGTGGAAAGCTGTTCCAAAAGGCACACAGCGTTAGAGTTGTAATAACATTTCATTTTCGTTTCGTTCCTGCATTCATTTGACGAATGCCAGAACGAGTGGGAACCGTTACTCTTTTTTCTTCATCAGACAGTTTGTGGCTTTTTGTATCCATTTCAATTTTGGCATCGAGAAAGCAAAAGAAGAAAGAGAGAGTATAATTTAATTTTTAAATTTGATGGTAATTTATACGTCATTAGCATGTTACCAACACATTTTCAAATGGGTACAGCATTTCGCATCTCATTGTAAAACCACCAAATCCATCTATAAATTGAGATTTACAATTGAATTCTGACTTATCGGCTTTTTGTGGCAGTGTACGAGAAAGGAGAAAAAGGGACAGGACGGCAGAAGTAGAGAGAAAAAGAGAGAGAGAGTTTATCGATGTGAATGTGGTTGAAAATCAATCGACCCAATAGCACCATGTACCCTGCATGCCTATGCATGGATTGAAACCGTACTGCCACTTGAAAACTTTACTCTCGCAAATTTCATTTGATTTCAGCTTTAATAGAATTCCATCGAAAATTTGATGAAATTTCCAATTGACCAATATTTAATTGATGTGCATGATAGCACAACGTTTGATTGTATATACCATCGATTTTAACAAAATGCATTTTCGAACATTTTCCCTTGAATACCATTGATTGTTGTATGTTAGTCGCGCTCTTTGAATGGCGTCGAATTTGTGATTTAATAATGCATCGATTCGTAATCGATGTCTGATGGGAATAGGATTTGCAAAACCACTTTTCTTGCTTTCTCTCGCACTTGCACTCGCTCTCGTTCGTTCATTCACCGTTCTATATGAAATGGAATCGGCTTGCTCTCCTTCCCAAATGTAGAATCGACACATTTGTAGTAACATAAGCAGTTTGTATGCCACTGGAAATAAACACTTTGATCTCTGCGCCAACATCACATCAGATCACATCGAAACTGACAAGGCGTCACAACAACATGACGAAAAGTAAATGAATGTGGCACGCACTTTACATCATAACACTGCGGATTTTAATGTGTATCTCTTCATGGCATTAAAAGTGCGAAAGAATGCGAATCTTCGGCATGTCGCACATATACACAGACAAACCATCGAGAAAACATTGTATTGAGACAGATAAAAAGAGAACAGGGCATGAAAATTTAATTCAAATTGATGTTAACCTAATTTAAATCAGACTTAATATATACAAATGTGTCATACTGCGAAACGCAAAACGAAACGATCAACATATTACCATCATCCACTAACAAAAAAGTACAGACCGCGTGACACATTGCAATAACTAACATACATTTTAATCAAATATTTAGTATGATCCAGATTAAATATATCCAAATACATATCATTTTCCCCTTTTTCCTGTGCACCCGAGATATGATCTCCATGTGTCACTGCATCGCTTAATTACCTCCATTGAAACATCGAAAATGTTACCATATTTCTTTGTTTGAAAAATATTCGCTTGTCATTGAATCCATATAAATCAATTAGCATATAGTTATTTCAGAAAGTGATTTATTTGAACCGAATTAGATAATACAATTTTCGATTAAAGTGGCTATTTTATAGTGCATTTCGATTACCTTACATTCTATGAATAAATATGGACGAATAGTGAAAAGAGATTGAGTCATAACCATATTCGGAATATTGTTCAGAAAAATCGTCGGATAGCTGTGCAGATTTTGTTGGCCAAAAACGCTGTTTGGCTTAAGCCGTTGTTGCAGCTGTTGTCGCGACCGTTGTTGCGACCGTTGTTGCAGCTGTTGTCGCGACCGTTGTTGCGACCGTTGTTGCGACCGTTGTTGCGACCGTTGTTGCGACCGTTGTTGCGACCGTTGTTGCGACCGTTGTTGCGACCGTTGTTGCGACCGTTGTTGCGACAGTTGTTGCGACAGTTGTTGCGACCGTTGTTGCGACCGTTGTTGCGACCGTTGTTGCGGCTGTTGTTGCGGCTGTTGTTGCGGCTGTTGTTGCTGCCGTTGTCACGGCTGTTGTCGCGGCTGTTGTTGCTGCCGTTGTTGCTGCCGTTGTCGCGGCTGTTGTTACGGCCGTTGTCGCGGCCGTTGTTGCGGCTGTTGTTGCAGCAGTGGATGCTATGAAGTGATATGAAGTGATTAGTAACTTTGAATTTGAAGAGAATTGAACAAGAAATGGAAATGTTCTAAATAATTCTTCTTGCAATTTCTGACAATATATTTGATTAATAAGATCGATTTATTTTTGTGCAATGAATCTTTAATTTATTTTCTTACCTGTTGTAACGGTCGTCGAACTGCAAAAGATAGGATAAAAAGATAATTAAAAAGGTAAAATGTATAGTTATGAATGTTTTCATGTCGATAAATTCAAATGAAATTTGATAATTTCTTTTCATTAATTTCATTGAATTACCTTGTTGTGGTTCTTTTTTGTTTTTTTCGTCTACAACATTTACATTTCTTCTTGCATGACGATGAAGATGCAACTGTTGTTGGACACTTCTTACGACGACAACGACACCGTTTCACTAGAACTCTATTGGAACCTGAAGATGGGTTGGAATTCGATGAACTCTGTCTCATTCTTCTCATTATAAACGGTATCGGTTCTGCAAGAGCTTCAGCTTCGGCATATGGTTCTGGCTCAGCAAATCCATCTGCAAATGACTAAATCCCGACGAAAAAAATTCACCAATTTTCAAAGAAATACGTGAAAATTGGTCCAAAAAATGGTTAAAATAAGAAAAATATACAGCTTACGGTTAAAACAATCGTGACGAACAAAAAACTTAATGCAATTTTCATTGTATTCGATGGTCTTGGGCAACTCCAAAAAGTGACTGATATTTTCAATCGATTTCTCTGTGGCATTTATATGATTTCGCTGAAGAAAAATGTATTTACTTTTATTTGCTATTCATATTGATTCCTGTTTTATCAAACTGTATAAATATTTTTATGGCGCTTGGAAGAAAATGTGTCAATTACATTTCCCATGGTATTTTTTAATAATATTTGTCTCGATTCCATTTACTTTCTTTAGAAGAGAATATGAACAAAAAATACACAATAGAATGTATTTGATCAATAATGCTGCACCTTCATTCAGTCAGTTAGTTTGCACACAAAATCGCTGAACAAACTTTCAACATGCAAAAAAACGTGGTTTGAATCTCTAAAGTGGCCTGCAAAAGAAATAGAACAAGTTAGTTAGATCAATTCGAATTTCAGCTGTGTTTGCATATGCAAAAAAATGTGTCGACATGGTAATGACACTTTTTCGCAATTGATTTAGAATTGTGTTCTCTCGCATTTTTATCACTTTTTCGTACAAACATACGCTTGCATTTTCGAAAGACAAAATATTTCACATTTTAATTTCAATATCGCAGTTAGAGGCGACTCATCTTTTTCAAAAAAAAAAAAATGAATTGTAATTTTTACTCAGAAGATTTAATTCTACAGATTTTTTTTTAAATGAGTAATCCAATCCGTGTTGATGTTCTTTCAGCGGGAGATTCATTTTAGAAAAATGAAAGTGAATGTCAATGACAGCATTTTATTTATTTTGTCGAATTTCGATTGATATGAGTTGATGAAATGTGAATTTTTATGAGGAACAATTATTTAATTGACCAAAAACATGCTATCTCTCTCATCCAATTGAATTAAACGGGTAGAAGAGTGTATAATTCTCTTTAATAAATGATAAATAAATGTTAATATCCAATTTTTCATTACATGCACATTTAATGTTATAATATGATGGAATATGCGCGCTCGATTGCATGACAAAATTCCATATCTGCGTCAATTTTAAAGATATTCAAGTGAGAAATACAAAACCTTTGGTCGCACATCGCACACAAACGCATTGAACGGGTTTTGTTGTTGTTATTATGAATTAAAATGTGAATCGAATCGATGTGCGTTAGCACACATTTAAAGCCCGCATTTATTTGGTTACAGCCAATTTAAACGCGCAAACGATTCAATTGATGCATTTTATGTTTCGTTCGTTCACGCGCCTATCGTCTAATTAAATTATATGGTGCACATACAATTTATAGATGATTTCCATAAAATTGAATAAAAACAAAGCGACAATGTACGCGAAGATAAAAGAGTTAATGGCGTGAATTTATTAAGTGTTTTTTTTCTCTTCGTTGATACACTTCAAGCATCAATTGTGTTAAACAAAAAGGTAATGTCAAATTGAAATGGAAATCAATTTCTGGGAATTCGTTGGGGTTTCTGTGAATATATTTTGATTGGAAAGCAATCTATACACATCACAAAATTGAATGGCAAACATTTAAATAATGGGTCTGGTATATTTCGTTTCATTTGATTATTGCATCAATTTAGATTTTTATTACTTGATCTGTTTTCGACGAAAAAAACATCGAACACACATTCCATGTTGTTTATTTTTGGTATGCATAGTGATGACATTAAATAAAATTTCAATTGCGATTATTATCGACAATAAAGAGAACCAATTAAATGCTTCATATGGTATTGGTCGTTAAAATTATGAAAAGCAAACGATTGAATTTACGCAATTATATTGTCAGTTTTGGCAGCGCTAATAATGCAAAAAAATTCTCTTCATTTTTCAGATACAAGTTACTCATATCATCCGGCCATACACGATGAAACGTTCGTACGACGAAAGCAAAGACGAAATCGTACGACATTCACGCTCCAACAACTCGAAGAGCTCGAAACGGCTTTTGGTAAAAAGAAAATTAATTAATTGATTTTTTATTTTTTTTTATATTTGATCTATTTCGTAATATTACTTTTATCTATGTTCGCTCAATAAATGTAAACAGCACAAACTCACTATCCGGATGTGTTCACCAGAGAGGATTTGGCCATGAAAATAAATCTTACCGAAGCCAGAGTGCAGGTATATGCATAGATTTTTAATTTAAAACTGTAAGCCATATGAATATATACATTTTTGCAAAATAAGCAACAAGGCCAGGTCACAATAAATTTAATAATCCAAAACGTGTGTGTGTGATTGAAATATATCTGCGTCACAGGCACACCGAAGTTCAGTGCAACTTGCGCTATTCATTATACGCTTTGTATTTGACATGAAAATGCAATGTCATGTTCTTGATCTTCCCAGCTTCTAGTCCCGTTAACATGAATTTAAGGTATTCCCAATACCATGGCCAGTGCTAACGCTTATTTACAACTTGAACATATCTCGAATATCCAAACTTTGCTCTACATTTTTGAAAGTGAACGAGAATTACAAACTTGACCAATATATTTTGCTAACGTTTACTATTAAATAAACATTTTCAATGTTTCAAGAATATTTATAATGGTCATACTTTTTTGCAATATTATGGAATAAACTTTTATTTGTTTTAAATCCAAAATAATCGGGAAAAGTTCGAATTTGCTGTCGGCGTTGTTCACTTTTGCAATCTATCTCATGGAGATAGACATCTATTCTTCAAATTCGGTCTCTGTCACTCACTCAAATTGGGAGTTTTACAGTAAAAACCATGAGCAAATTGCTTGATCGGATTATTTGATTTTCGGGGAATTAATGTGGGTTAACACATGTTCATGTAGTTCGCAAACGTGTGGCAAGATTACAAGCATCTATCCAAACACCATCATGATATTTTTCTTCTCTGCTGGCATGGTTGTGTTTGAATCTCATGCGCCACAACGACAGTACATAGTATGAACTTATCGACTGAACAAGAAAAAAAGAGAGAAAAAACCGTCGGTAATTCATTTAGTATTCGGTTTTTATCTGATCGAAGGACAACGACGACTATCAAATGTTGTTTTTTGTTTCATCGCATGAAAACCATTAGCTAATTTTACAACTAATACCAAACCAAATTCAATCATAGCACATGATGAGAGATGTAAGTCTTCTTCGTTCGATGAAATTTGATGCCGTGTCTAAATGGCTAACGACCAAGAGAAACTTACAACTGTATTGGAATATTGCATTAAATCGAATCAAATATTACGGATTAGTTAATGGCTGTAAACGCATTTGGCTAAATGCAACATATTTCACCCCTAAAATTAAATCACACTTTTTTTTCGCTCTCACAACATTTTGTTTTATTTCGCATTGTAAAATATCAACAATTTTTTCGCAATTTTTTTTCCAATTTTAAAATACCCTTCAGTGCATTGAATAAATAACGTATTTGTTTTGTGTTGAAGTCGTTTCGAACAAAGCGCATGTTTGTTAACGAAAAAAAAAATGTTTTTTAGAAGCAATTAAAAATTCAATTGTTTTTTATCCCATTTGCAAAACTGAATGATTTGAAACTTGTCCCATTTGCAAAACTGCACACATTGCACACTCAGTGTCAACCTTTTCTCGATATGTTTCCTGTGGTGTTTTTGCGCGCCGTTTGTCTTTTTCGTTTATAATACGTAAACAGTCATTTTCATTCGTCAATTAAAAATAGCAAAACAGACGACGTTAAAGTGCTCTCACGCATAAAATGTTCACCTTTGTCTTCGATTCAATTTTAATTTGTTCGAAATTAATTTTCGATTCAATTGAGCAATGTAAGTGGTAGACACTTGAATGAAACAAAATTGTTTGCGGAATTTTCCCACCCTTAGAACCACCATACGTAATTTTATTTCGAAAATTTGTCAAAATTTATTTATTTTGTCCGTTTGTTAAAATGAAAATTGTATCGTGTTAGGCGATTAAATGAAATCAAGTTATGATTGTACGAATGGCGGTGGCAGATGAGATATTTGACGGCACGTGACCTGAAAACACAAGAATAAATAAACATATCAAATTTCATTGGATTGAGAGATAGTGGCATGAACAAAAAAAAAATGAAAACGACTGACATACACACTTATACTCAGCCTGTGCGAGTCGAAGTGCTCGAAAATTGAATAACTCAAGAATAGAGAACGGCATTAAAATGATGGATGAAGATATCAAATGTCAAATTTTCTCTAAATTTTTGATGCGCGTTTGCTGTTGTGAGTGATTTATTCGCGTTTCGATTTGTTTGTGATGGCAAAAATTCATTTTCAAATCAAATAAACATTTACATTACACCCTTAAATTTGTGAAATAACCAGAGAATTGGTTCCACCGTTAGTTATACAAGTCAAGATCGAATTCAAGTTTGCATCAAATGGTGAAATTAAGTGAATCAAAAGTTCATGTTTTTGGAAATGTCAATATCCTTTTTGCTTGACAAAATTCCTCTCTAAATTCCAAAGTGATCGTTCAAACTGCATTTTCATGGAAAACAATCGTCGTACGAATTTCATATTAATATTGCTTTTTTCGATTTGATATAACGTTGTGTGTGGCACTTGGGCGCACTCTTTAGATTTTAGTATGCCTGGAAGGATGTCACGTATTGTGATTTGTACGACAGTGAGCATCAGTTAAAAATAATGCAGTGCCGTTTTCATTGGATTTCTTCCATTCGAAGTGTGTGCATGTGTTTTTTCGAGTCTTATAATAATAATTTAGAGTTGTGCGCAAAACAAAAGCATTGAACATGCCATCGCATAGCGCCATCAAGCGCAAATACTTAATTGGGTACTTGGCTTGTATTTCAAAGCGCATTGCTTATATTTGAAAATTCTCTCATCGTACATAATTAACTGAGTGAAATTGTGCACAGCCAATGTCGATGTCGCCCCCCATCCACGCACACAAACACCAAAACGAACGGCTGTGATTCACAAACTAATTGCTATGATTCCATTTTGCACCACTTAACTACGTAATTATTTCGTTTGTTGTGTAGTTCACTGGCTGTGTGCTGTTTTCTGTATTTGTCAAGCTTTTATATGTCAAAACTGAGCGGCTTCAATCCTTTGTTTTTCAATTAAAATTAATTATTTTCTTCTGTTCTGTTTTCGTTTCGAATATAATTGACACCTTCACAGTGAGCAAATTTGTACACACGTCAAGCTCTTGTGAAATTATATAACTTTACCGTTCTACTTGTTTGTACACATCTTGTTATCTGGAACAGGTTTAGAGAAGTGGCTCATGGTCTTATGTTCCATAGTGTGCCTTTTACACAGAATCTTTTTTTTTCTTTGTTTATATTTGATTTTTTATTTAAAAAGTGACATCTTATTTCGTGTGTGCAATTATTCCATTTTGATAATTACTAAACTTCAACCAATTCATTGTAATAAACAATTTTCCGAATTTTGCTTTGAAAGGAATATTTTCTAGATCCGAATTCAAAAGTCAATGATATTTTCTCAGTCGATTTATGTTTTATTGACTCGATTTATGTTTTATTGACTCGATTATGTCAATTTTACTGTGAAACTCGTCTAACACAATCAAATTAAGAAATTGGAAAAAAATTCTCTGGCACCACCTTCATTTCTTGTATCAGTCATGTCTTTTTTTTGGTCAGCTTATGAACACACTTTGAAAGGTTCATAAAAATCGTTAACACTTGCAAGAAAGCATGCTGTACAAATAGATTAAATTAGATCTATTTGTATCATTTGATTGTATTGCTCTCTTGTTTCTCTCGGCCCCGACAGAGCCATCAAAATGAGCACACATAACCGGTGATTTTGATAGACAGTAACGATGATGCACAACCATTATTATCTGTTAAACTACATTTGTTACCAGTTCCACATACACAGGGACGTTTTATCCAATTTTTTTGTTGTTGTTCACTCAACAATTTATAGCAATAATCTTTTATTTTATGTACACACTTTTGAAATGTTACTCTCTTTCTCTCTCTCCATTTATCTGTTTAACAGATTGTGGTTGAAAAAATCTTCTCTGTTTGATGGCAAACGATACGTACAGGTCTGTTTAGTGTGGTGAATGAAAATTCCATTATGAAATGGGAAAAAAATCTCCCTTCATACGGAAAAAAACCGTCAATTTTCTTTCATACAGTGTATTTCGTCGAAAACAAAATGCCCATAAGCCATGTGAATTTAGAGGTGGTTCTAGTTCATTTTTTTAAACGAGCAACCCGTTGCATATCGAAGATGGTTACCGCGGTGCACCGAAACTGGTTACAGTATCAAATTTCCCAGTGCAAGAGTACTTTATCAAATCACAAAATGGGTTAGAACGCCAACTATTTTCTTCTGTTCGACGTTTGTTTAATTTATTGCGTCTGCTAATCCGTGGCCACAATGTGGCTTGAGGGCATCACATCGAATTCGTTCGGTATAATTTCAAGCAAAGAGTTGTGTAATCAATGCTGAAAATTACACAATCGGCTGAAAATGGATTAACGATCACATCTGTTCATCGCGAACACACACAAGAATGAGCGCAAATGTTCGGGTTAGAAAAATGAAGAGAGCTATGCGCGAAAATTGTTGAGTTATTGGCCACAAATTTATGAGTATAAATATTATTTCCGCTACTGTTCACGGCTAATTCAATTTCATGATCCATTGGACTGTATAATTTGTTTTCTTTGCAACATTATAGCATTTAATCGAGGAAAATGATAGCATTCATATTTTATAAACGATAGACCTCTTTTGTCAACATTGAAAATGATTACAATTTTATAATATCAAATATTTGATCTTTATTTTTTGAATCATGTAATCGACAAAACCGCAATATCATTCTATTTACTACCTCGAAGGGGGTACGAGTGATTGTGAACTCAAACATTTATGAAAATGTGAACGAATTTTTCATATTTTTCAATCACAAGTTTGAACTTCAACTGGTAAAGACTTGAACGACGACAACAATAGAAAAACGTCGTTGAGAAATGATTGCGACATGGAAAATAAAACAAAATGCAATCGTATAATGAATACACTTAAAATGTAATTATTTTTTGGTTTTGTAGCGAATGAATGAAAGCAAATTTGTTCGCATAAAATATTTATTGTGGTAATTTATTTACGTTTCGAACATGTTTAGTTTGGCAAATGTTTCAGTTTATACTTGTATCATACTTGGATTGCTGTTTGCCCAGTACAAATATTAGGGGTGAGATTTTTTCCAATGGATTAAATGGGCGAAAGAGAAGGAACGAGAGAGAGAGAGAGTGAAAACAAAAACACAAACGGACAGATTTCAATGAACTGCTGACAAATCATCGTGTCTCGGTGCGAATGTTCATTCTTTCAAAGATACAAACCCTGTGTTCATATATTTGTTTTGCGCGCTAAAAACCCTCAAATGACATTTGTTTTTCGTTTATTGTAAATTATTCTTTCAACGCGCACATTGAAATCGATGAATAGCAAACAAAGTAATTTACCGCATTATCCATTCGTTGAGTTGTTGATATATTTATACAGTTACTTAAAATCACATTTAGCCAACTGGTGAATGAATCTCAATCCAATCAACAATTCTATGTCGAAGGCATTCAAGTGTATAATTTTTGTTTCCACTATTGTGTCAACAAAACATAATATTTATCTAGCAAATCGGCAAATAGAAAAAATCGTCAAAAAAAGTTATTTTGAAGATTTTTTTTTTTTTGAAGAAAACGAAAATGAACAAAATTTCAAATGAAAAATTGTGTCTTTCGAGTTCAACGGGATCGTAGTTCTTGCCAACTAATTTGATCGCCTCCGGGTGATGGAAAATTATGTACGTTCTCAAACTTCGATGAATATGGTATCGCATTTCATTGCAACAACGTTTCTGTGTACAGACAGCAATGGCAAGAGAGCAAAGAGTGAAGTGTGTACTCGTACACCAGCTGCGGGTGTCGCATATGATGAAAATAAATTTTGCGTATAATGCAACCATAAATTTAATAATTCCCAAAGAAGTGGAAACATTCATTACACGTTATTGGCTTTACTTCCTTCTGTTTTACGCATTGGCAATGCAAACGAGATGTATAATTTTTCAATTTAAATTGAAATAGATATATATTTATCTCGCCCTTGTCGCCAAACATAATTTAATTTTCATAAATTTAATGTGGGTTTTTTTCTGAATGTGTCACATCCAGGTATGGTTCCAAAATCGCAGAGCTAAGTGGCGCAAAGCCGAGCGGCTGAAGGAAGAGCAGCGCAAACGTGATAGCGGTGACAATACACCGATTTTGAACGATCGCGTAAATATATTTGCTTCAATTTAATGTGATGATTTCATGAAATCCGGGTGTTTTCAAGTGTATTTTCTTTTTCTTTTTTGGGTACAGAACGAACAGAGTCGTGAATCTTCGCCGGATATAATTGGTGATAATGATGATGAGCATTTGAGCACAAGTGCACCGGCGCAAAGTCCTCGCACCGATTCGGATTTGGAGCGACCACAATCGTCATCGATGCAAATTCACAATCATCAATCGATGTCACAATCGTGTTCCGGCAGTGTTGGTTCGCCGTCACCTGGTTTTCGGTAAGTTTGACGAATTGAATAAATCTACTTTAAAAATTGAATTATTGATTTATGTTCATTGAATGCGTGCACAGAACTTCACAAAATTCTGGCAACAGTCCGCCGAATGCTGATTCACCACCGATCGAAGTTGGTGGTCCCATTTCATTGGCAACATCACCGATATCGATGACATTGGGTTCACGTTCGAACAGTATTTTATCAAATACAAATGGTGTCGCTGCCAATAGCATTTTCAACAGTTTTGCTGACACGTAAGTTACAAAAAAAAAAATCCCCATTTTTCGTTTTCTCGTTTCGGTGATATGAATAAAATCAGATTTTAATCTCTTATTTAGTTGCTTTGATGAATGTGAATGTATTTCCGGCATCGAACATTGAAATTCATGCCATAAGCTCATTACGGTCAATAAACACTTTTCGAATGATGTTATGATTGTTTATCTTAATTTTATTACTTGTCATTATGCATTTTCGGAATGGCACATTATCGGGCCGATGACTAGTGTACATTATCGAAGCGAATCTAATCGCATTTTCATGCTAAAAGCATCAAGCAGTCTAGCGTCGCATAAAAGAAACTTGAAATAAGGAAATTAGGCACATTAGAGAGATAGATAGATAGATTTGTGACGACTTCATCAATGATGATGATGGTGATTTTTCCTGTATATTATTACGAATATCGAAATATCACCCGCCGACATAGAAACATTGCAGGCAAGAAGACTGTTTGCATGTCGCATCAATTTATACTGTATCATTTCCTTTGTTTGATTTTCGACCGGGATTTTCCGGTTTTTCCATTGAAGGGGAGTGTACCGAATAAATCAGAAGACAATCAACTTGGTATGTGTGTACATGCATTCAAATGGAAATGTAATTCGGGTGCATGCACAACTTCCAAAACGAAACCAAACTAATAAAATATTATATGTGCGCGCCGGCATACAACGTGATTTTTATATTCATTTGAAACAAACGATTATTTGGATAAAACAACTTCATTAGCCATATGGTAATGTTTGATTGGTTACAAAATGTTTCTTTGAGATGAAAATGAGACATTTGCGATGGATTCCATGTAATGATGAGCATGTGATGTACAGTGTAAACAGCTCAGCATGTTGACACAACAGGCGTTCTTCACTTCGATACATTACAGCAAACACTGATGATTTGTGCCCCGAAGTGAAATGGTTAAATAAAAAGTACGATATCAATTGTAACTGGTTTACCTCCGATTCATTTGTGCTTATTGGATTCTTTGGATTGTAACAAGTCAATTACGCTATTGATCGATTTGCGTGTTTGTCAAGTTGAAATTTACTCTACTCGCTTTCACAGTGGGTAATGAAAATAAATTTACTAATTGTTACTTTTAGCGCGTATGCCACATTTAAAATGAGCGCGGAAGTATGTTTTATGTTTGGTAACGATTTGTTAGCCTCTTAAATCCTCTTCGAAATACTCGCCATCACGAGGAAGATTTATTCATTTTTGCTGCTTCTTTTATTTGTTGTTCCGATTCGAAGCATTAATTTTGCTTTTTTTCTTCGTTTGAACTCTGTATTGCTTCCTCCTTCGACGCATTAAAATTCTTTGGCTTAAAGTCATCGAAAATAATTTCGCCAATTGATTGAATTTGATGTGCGTATAATTTAGATATCATTTTCATTTATCAACGTCCGCAATGTCATTATCTCATTGTTTTTTTTATTTTCATCTCTCTTTTGAATGGGATACAATAATTGAAACACGAGGCGAAATATTCTGTCTTCATCATGACACTGCAAAGAACAACCATGAAAAAAATACCAACCAAATCACAAAATCTTAACGATTTAATAGCAATAATTTATATTCATATTATATTGTAATGTGTCAGTGTTCGGGCAGCATATGTGTATGGATCCACATCGAATCCAAATGATTTATTTCCATTTAGTTTCATTCTCTTTTCGCTTCATTTATTACGCAAGGATTTCCAACTAAAACCGGATACATTTCCATTGACTTTGCCTTTTTTGTGTGTCGTTGATTTAGTGGTTTCCTTACTATCGGCTAAGAGAATCACAGAGCAATGGAAGAGAAAGAGAGAACAATAGACGATAAAGAAAAAGTAAGATAGAGTGAAAGACTGAAAAAGAAGAATAAAAAGAGAAAGTAAATCGGAAAGGAAAAGAGAGCGAAATAGTCTTACTCACGAATTGACTAAAAAGGGTGTCAATATAATTTATTTTTCCGACTTTTCAATTTTCTTATGGCTTATCCGTAATGGACTTACCCGTTTAGTTCTTACGTTTGTCATGAAAATTAATTACCGTCGACGCATAAAAGCCAAGAAAAATGAAAAATTCTATTAATATTCCAAAGGATATGGTTTAATGTAAAGAGTTTATTTGGTCCATAAAATGAGTGCATGTACACCGGAATCAAGTTCTTTTTCGACGAAAAAAAAAAATGCGAAACAGTTTTAGTTAACCATGAAAGGAGTGTGTACATCTAATGGAGTGAACGGTATATATGTGTTTGGTTTGTTTGCGGGTGTGCGGTTATTCGGTCGTAATGATTTCCGACACCACGGGCGGTACACAATGTGCACAACTGTTTGCCACTTTTTACACTATTTAACGATATAAAATTTGCATTTTATAACATTGGCTAGTGTCAAGATATTTAAAAACCGAAGATTGTTTTTAAAAAATCCAGTGACGACCACAACAACCACAAAAGTCCTTATAATAACCATTTTTTTGTTCATCACTTAAGCCACATTAACTGAAGAACAAAAACAATTATTTTCTCACTTGCAACATTTTCGTGTGTTAAACATCTCCGACTATTTATGAGGGTCTTAAGTCATCATCGCGAAAAAAATAACAACAACGTATTTATTTGGATGATTACTGTAAAGAGAGCTAACTAAAGCCACTAACCCCAGTTTGCATACTAATAGTAGAGCGTGTAGAGTGTGCATGAACAAAAATGCACTTCAACGTAAACGGAAAATAATAACAACAGGAACACGAAAGAAGCGAACAAGAGATTGACAAAACATTGAACGAGGGGTCGTTCATTGATTGTTCACCACTAATGCGCTCAATACACCAAACAAAGCAAACCCTCAATATGTTTGTTTCATGTATAAATACAGCGCAACACATTGGCTGCCGTCTATCACTCGAAGTACGGTACTCAGCATCATTAAACGCAAATAAAAGAAACCTATGTTCCATTTAAATCTCAAGTGCTGTTTGCCACCCGAATTGCTACTGTACATTGTACACAATTATTTGTTGGTACATTTTTTTTCGTTCGATCCAAGTGTCAGAAGGAATTCCAAATGGCAAAAAAAAACATAAGTCCGTATGTCGTGTTTCTTTTTTCAAGCGCACTGAAAGGTCATTATAATTTAAATCAATTCGTGTCATTGCCATTGAAGATTTAACGCAGAAAACCACGTAAAGCGATGTAACACTTTAAAATGGTCAAGTAATTTGGACCGATCTCTCCTTCGAAGAATAAATTCAATTTTTCCCGAAAATATTTTGCAAACAGCAATCTTACGAACACTCACATAAGCATACGACGTTCAATGCACACTGAGAATTTCGGCGAAGAACTGTGATTCATGTATATTCTTTTTAATGTGTGTATATTTTTCATAATGCATTCGTGTCATTATCCTATTAAAAAGAAACGGACGCGTCCGAAAGATTTTTGGCCCATGAATAAACTCATGCACATGGAAGTTTCAATTACGTTTCGAAACATTCGGCTGATAATGGGCAAAAGTATGTGTGGCGACAGAACATATATCCAAACAGTCAATAAAAGAATGAAGAGTTTTGTGTGTATCTTCTGTCTGCTTCTACCGCTTTGCGTAAATTTATCCAACTTCTATTTAATTAAATTCACGGTGTGGCATCCATTTGCCATTTCATAAAATGTTTTGAGATTTTTTGTTGTTGTTGCTGCTTACTTTTTGCTTCAATTCCATAAAAACACAAACAGAATTTGTAGCAATCAGTAAACGAGCGTCATCATCACCACGTTCCTTTATATGTGTGTGAGTGCGCGCGATGTGCTTACTTACGAATGCCAAAGCACACAATTTAATTCGACGAAAATTTAATTTTTCATTTTCGACGAGTGAAAAACATCCCATTACCCAGGAAGGGATTATGTATTATGTATTCATTCTCTCTCCATTTCGCTCGTGCTCTTGATCTTGTTTTTGCCAAAAGGAAAAACGAACGATAACGACACATACACACAAACACATCCAACGCGCAGATTAAATATATTCATTTATGAATTCTGTATACCAACACGCAGAGGATGTACTCTGTGTGCGTACGAGTGGAAGAAGCATTCAGTTTATGGAAGAAAGGAAAGAAAGAGAGAGGAAGAGGGAGAGAGAGCAAGAGAAAGAAAACGATTGACGAAATGGAAATGATGGCATCACTCGAATATTCAAATTAGGCGACAAAGAACAAGAAAGAGCATAGGAAATTACATTCGCCTTTTCTCTATCTCTTTCGATCGTCTTCTGTTTTTCGTTCATTTTCTGAATTCTAACTTGCTTAAACGTATCAAAGCACGTAACTGCTGCTCCAGATACACTTCATCTTTTCATGCGAAATTTCCGAAAGTAACACGATAAATAAATGCATAATATTCGACAACCGAGGACGTCTAAGCCTGGTAAAACTCAGGTGTTTTGTGAGCGTGTAAACGATGATGGAAGTTTTCAGGCAAAACAAACAAGCAAAAGTGTGCCAAAGTACTTTTTCCTCAATAAAACGAAAAGAAGTCAGCGACGACATAGAGATCCCATCTAAAAATTACCTAAATCATTTATTACATTATTTCATCATAGCTTTGTGCGCTTGAGAGTTTATGATGGAAAAAATTCAATTAATTGCGCTCAGGATGTTTCAATTATTACTGGGAATTTGCAATTACATGAAAAAGTTTGTAACGTGCTGCTCTACTGAAAAATGCATTATGAATAATAATAAAGTAATGAATATAAATAAATAAATGGCAATTATCGTTTGCCAAGGCGAAATGGCTGTTCTTTCTCTATCTCTCACGTCTGCTCTTTATTGTTTGAGCACTGATCTCATCTTTAATCGGATGTAAAGTTGATCTCCAGCTTGATGACGTCACATGTACACCAAACCTGTTTAAAGTCTTTGCGAAGTCGTAATCCAAAGGGATCGCCATCATATGACTTGATTTAATTTTTAGCAACAAAAATAGCAACCGTTGATTTGCATTTTATAACACATGAAACAAAACAAAAGAATACACAATGCCAAGTGAAATTCAATTAGAAATTATTCCGATGCTTCAACAATTTAAATAAGATAAAGGAATATTGAATGCCAGCTCTCTTTCGCTCTCTTACTCACTTTATTAATAATAATTTTTTGATAGCGCACAATTTTACAAATTTATGATAATCAATTCCCTTTGATCTTTCACCCTTCGCGCACTTACAACGGATGCATCATTCGGGGTTTGACTTGCCATACATACATTTCTGTTGTTGTTGTTTTGTGTGTGTGTGTGTGTGTGTGTGTGTGTGTGTGTGTGTGTTACACTGTTCACTTAAAAGCATTGAAATACAAATTCTACATTTCATATTATTATTATCAAAAATACACACCGAAATCGTGAACCATTTTCCGAGCAAAAAAAAATCGCCCAAAATGACTATGTAATTCAATATTTTTTTCTCTCTGCACATTTTGCCCCATAATGTGGTGTGCTTTGATACAGTTTGTCCTCATTTTTTGTTGCTCGCCTTCGCCAGATCTAAAGAGCACAAAAAAAAATCATAAAAAGAGTATCTCATAAATGCACAAAATAACAATCTATACATGAATGAAATATGTAATGTGTATTATTTGATGGCTGAAGTTTAAATTCAACCCCTTTAAATATTTATGCGAAATATTTTACGATTTTCTCTCTTTTACTCTCTTGAAAACTGAACACAACCGCATCGTACATACATCTTTATACTGATCTCTGTCGTTTTCTCTCTTTCTCTTGATTTCTCTGCTTTTTTGGCCAAAAAATATCGTTGATGAAGAATTATTCAGCAAAATGCGAATATCGAACGAAAAAACGAATGTGCTGCATTTTTTCTCTCTCTTAAATTCAATATTCACCATCAAGAATGAAATTTCATGTGAATGGAAAAAAAGGAATCATATTATCATTTATGAGGTTTTTAAAAAGAGATATTTCATTTTGGTCGTTTATAATTTACTCAGCAGCAGTAGCATTTTGTATCCCGTTCCAAAAAAAAATTCTGGCTAACTTCTTTCTCCATCTTTTTTTTAACATCAACTTTATTTTCCTTTTTATTTTGACATTTTTTCTTCCGCAATCCGCTTGATTTCGGATGGTTCAATTTTTTTTATTCACCTATCTCATCGGTTAGTTTTTCCGCTTTATCCTGCGGTATAAGGAAACCGAAATAATGCACGAAAATGATCATCTAACGCTCTCTCTTTATGCGCATAATGTGACCACTTGAATGTTTTGCTCTCCGAGAGATTTTCTTCCTAATAATTTCTCTTTCGCTAAAGAATATTTGTTGAAAAACCGCAAGTTAAATGCTTACAAACTGGAATCTCTCAAGATATACCAGCAATTACAATTTATTTACATTTGAACAACAAAGTGGCTCCACTTTATCAAGAGATATTGATGCTTTTTACTTAACTTTCCTTTTGTATCCTTAACAAACGCACAAATATGCACGCCCCACGTTTTCATTTATTTATAAATTTCATTTTATGTTTCGCCATCAAAATTGCATTAGAATAAATAACCGGTCGTAATCGCAAACAGCAGCGCTGTACCCGAATCGCCATAATAGTGTCAAATAATCATAAAATTGATATGTACATTGTGTGCACATTAAGCGAATGAACCAAACGAATCGAGCGAATTGCTACTGTATGGAGAAGCTTCAACAGCGAAAAAAAAGCACACCGAACAAAATGGAATCGATAAAAAATGCGATATAAAAGTGTAAAGCAGCATACGGGTGAGATAGAGAGGGAGATAAAGACGAAAAAAACCGACGAATAAAATTCAATTTGAGAAAACATTTTATTTTATTGTTGGCTTTATTTTTATGTGCAATGCACAAATAAAAATGCTCCATTTCATCCTGTTCACTGGTATGTTCGCTTTGGCTGGCTAAAAATTGATCGCTCTCGCCCATTGCGGGCGCGTTAAATGTTAATGGTGGCTCAAGGCTAGCAATAAATTTGCAAAGATGGTATACATTTTACTAACCCGAAACTGTGTTGTTTGCAAGATACACACACACAAACTCATTTGATGGCATCAAACAAATATCAAGTGGTTTTTCTGAAGGTGATTTAATGTGGCAGCAAGCAAATAAACTTTGGCACTCGGATGGTGATGCTTTCAGTCAAAGGTGGCGCGTGATATATAACTAAATGATGTGAGCTCATCTCCACCACTTGTTTTCTTCGTCTCTTTCTTTTGGCTGCAATTTTATTGCCCGAAATAGCTAAATACAACGCCATTTCTTTTCTTCGCATAATGTGTTCCTTGCTCAGGAGAGATCTTGTTCAATTCAATTTTATATTCATTTCCGAGATGCTGTGTAGTTGTCGTTGTTGCGGATGGTGCAACCCTTTTTTCCATTTGCCGCCACCGTCGTTTTCTTTACTTCGCCGACGTCTCTCCGATTCAGCTTCGTCGACCACGCGTTTAAATCAAACCAAACACATTAGACATGGTTGCCTCTGTTAATTATGTACACATGAATAGGTGTTGCCATGGTTCCGTCGCATCACATAGCATGCGCACATTCAATATTTACTCTGTTCCGCTCTCTTCCTTTCCACAAAAAAATCCCGTTGGCCTCCATTTTCTCGTTCTCTCGGCATTTCACTCTTTGGAAAATATGATTTAATTTAATGATACGTTGCTCTGCACAACAACACTCTTGCTACACACCTGCAAAAATGGAAAATCGACGATAAAATGATACCCAGAGTGTGAAAATGTTCACACATATACATACGCTCTTCATGCAAGCAGAAGGCATCCTATGAAATTAAACACACACGTAGCCTCTATTCCACTGAAATGTTTCGGGGGAAAAGTTTTACAAAATGGTTTTCAACAACAAACAAAACCGTCTTCTAACAAAATTATGCCATTTAATGTTTTGAAAATATATTTTCGTTAATACTTTGTGTATGCTTTGATCTTAATTAATTGAATCCTTTAATCCGGTCGGCTTAATTTAAAAGAACAAAAAGAAAAATCAATGAAAAACTCAGATGTTATTTTAAGAAAGAACTTATAGTCTGACTTCATCCATTATTATCCCAATTTAAAAGTGTTTTTATTTCTCTCATTTCGTGTTTCAGAACAAACGGTTTTCGCCCATTGCTAGATAATAATGCGCCACGTGCAACGCCTCCATTATTTCTACCGACACATTTGGCATCACTTGGTTCCCAGTTTCATCCACCATTGTTTTCACACTTGAAAGGTAAGTTAGTTAATTTCGAGGAATTTAAATTTTTTTGTTGCTTTCCACGAAAACTCATGAAGAACAAAAGACCCACAAAATCTAATTTTTCGCTGCATGAATTATTCACACTCGATGGAATGCTTTTATTTTGCAGAAGAGAAAGTTTGTTTTATTGGTTAATCGATGATTTCATGACCGTTATTCGATAAAACTTGATACGACATGTAATCTGATGTAATAATCGACAATGTAAATCGAATTTGTGTTCATGACTTTTTGTTTGCAGCACGCAGCGCAGGTGTTTTTCATTGATTGATAATGGCACACATTTTATATTCTAATTTTATAATCGATGCGGTGCACACATCAATCAATGATTGATTACCGATATGCATAAAAGTGATATGATATTTTCCAAACCTTGTTAATAACTCACGGCTTAAATGTTGGGATTTTAAATGTTACAGGATTTCCCGGTTTGTGTTCGTGTTGCCCGACAATCACATCATCGACAACATCGTTGAGTGCAAATCGTTCGTCGGCACTCACAAATGTGTGCGCTTCGTCCGCATCATCCGCCAACGATCCACGTACAACATCTGTGGCTGAATTGCGTCGCAAAGCCCAAGAGCATTCAGCGGCACTTTTACAATCATTACAAGCAGCTGCTGCGGCTGGTTTTTCATTTCCAGCATTTTTGCCACCGCTAAACTTTAGCAATACACGAAAATCAATGCTAAATCCAACCGGTCTTGTCACCAGCACCGGCATAACCACAAACAACAATGACATTTTGACCAATTCAAATAATACACACACAACAACGATTAATGGTGATTCGGCTCAACATACAACTTCGGGTAATGCCACCGATAAGAGTGAATAAAATGGAATGAATGCACGAAGAAACACAGACGAATATATACGAAATTGTACAAAACTCAAGTCTTAAAATTGTATCAATTCTAATTGAGATAGAATCAAAATAAAAAAAATATATAGAATTAAGCGCAGAAAATTGCTCTATTTTCAAATGGAATGCAGTGGAATGACTTTAACTAACATAGACATTTTAAAAATTTGAATGAAATTTCTACTCGAAACAAAAAAACAACCATTTTCTGAATAATTATGCACCACATTTAAATATATATGTAAAACGGTTTTGAAAAGGACAAAAAGTGCAGTAAAATTACTCATAATGCTCTAAGTTAATTGTACAATATATCTTATATATAACCATGTTTAAAACAACAAATACAAAGAATAAAATACGATCACATTAACATGTAGATGTATATAAATTGAATCTGAAGATGTAATCAAATAAAAGTTTAAACGAACCAATAATCGCGTAGAATATCATCATAAGTGTAAGCATTAGTGTGTTTGTGTGTGTGTGTGTTTGTAAAATGTAGCACTAATTCAAATAAGTTCAATTTAAATGAAATAATCATTTTTAGCGTAAGTTGATTCTGCCGGGCACTTCTGCTTGAACTTTAATTTTCCACCTGACAAAGAATAGATATCTATTTTCAGAGTAAGATCAATATCTCATTTCTTCAAGAAAATAAAAACACAATTCAGTTTAAGATTAACCAAAAAAAAATGTATCTGCTTTTTATTCGGACAGCATTTGTTTTTAGTGGTAATATTTCAATAGCAATTACAATAGGTTTACAAACTAAAGATATTCAATCATATTCTCTAAACAAATGAAATCAGAAATTATAATCGCTACACATAAATTAATGCCAATGTTTGTTTCGACTTTTTGTTGAGAAGAAATTTTGCAATCGTGCGCTTGAATCACGATTAATACTTGTGCCAATTTCACTTTGGATGTACGATACATTAAATGATATTATATAATGAAATCATATTGTAATGAATCTATATTAACTAAGATTATATCTCGTAATAACATAGAATCAAATCAATAAAAAAAAACACAAATACCAAACTCTTGTTTTGATTGAGGATGTAAGTGTATGTGAATTTTTTTTACTTCGCTTCCGTGCTACAGAGTCCAAATAATGTAGTTTCTAAACTAAAACATTCGACTAAAATCATTTCTCAAAACGTAGTAGTATCAACGAACAACAACAAATTGGAAGAAAAATCGATTAATTCATTTAATGGATTCAAATGATATAGAATGGCTTTGAATCAACATTCAAATAAAATCAAAAGCGCGCACATAAATAGAGCAAATTTTTGCTTCGAAATTAAATCAAACCAACTTCAAAGTGAATTCTCTCTCACTCGGTGTTTACATTACTTTGCAAATAAATTCTTCAATTTTATGAGAGAATGCACATCAAAATACACAACTCATACCGATTCTGAGAGGTATATCATTCAAAAAACTGAATTAAATCAGAAAATTGTTCGCATAAACGTTTTGGAATCAAATTAAGCACCGAACTTCATTGCTTAAGCAAATAATTTCGGGAAAGTTGTTGCCGTTTGAAAATGAAGCAAACAGCATTTTTGCTTTAATTAATATTTGCAAGAAATTAAACCGATCAAGGGAAAAGGAGAACTGGAGAAATGAAATCATTTTCAACGTAAATATAACTACGACAGCCGCAGTCATCGAATGACTCATAAATAAAATGGTTTTTACCTAACCATGAGAATAAAGTCATTCACAGAATGTTTAGGTGCTTTTTCGCCGAAAACACCGTCAATAAATCAAAAGAAAATGCTTCATCATTGTTTTGACTTATTGCATTTTTCGAGAAAAATAAATACGACGAACGCATTCACAGAAAAAGTTAGAAAATCATTAACCGATAGTAAAGTCACTTTGATAAAAAAGTGTCAAATAATTCTAGGTCGATAGTTTTTCCATGAAATTTGAACTTGTTTGTTTGATTTTCAAAAAAAAAAAAAAAAAAAAAAAATATGTCATTCAGAAGAATAGGAAGGACATTTTGTTACAATTTTCGTTTGAAGGACATCAAAAAGCAAATAAGGCGATAAGAAGTGCGAAAAGACATACATTTTGCTCGAGACGATTTTGCATAAGGTCTTTTAAGCATTTTTAAAAATGAAATTCACATTTTAAATCCGAGTCGAAACATGGAACCCAAATCAATTCATTCCGTGTTGTTCATTATATTGTATCAAATTAGTGTAAGTTAATATAAAAAAGAATTGGTTTGTTTCTCTCCACTTTTTTATCGATTTCTTAACTGTATGATTTGTTTTTTTTTTTTTTAATACTTTTTTTTTTGTTCGTGTTCAAATATCTGTCAAGATTTTCTCAAAATCATGTGATCTTACCTCAGCCACGATATTCCCACTGGCCACAATCACAAATTCGACCGAAAACCTGACCAAATTGTTTCCAAATTAAAATTAGATTATATTTTTTCCCAATATAAAGTTTGTTAAGTTTTCAAATGTTCTCATTCAAATGTTTTACTCATCGACAAGATCCCAAATCATTAGAGATGCATCAGTTCCACCGACTGTAACAATTGAATTGTCACCGTAAAGGAAACGTACACAACCAATTACGCCCGAATACACTTTTGTTTCATAGTATTCACTTCGTGGACTGATGCACGGGTATTTGAAGAGCCGAACATGACCTTCAGAATCACCAGACGCCAGCATATCCATTCCAGATGATCGATTGCATGTCGTTATCTTTGACGATTGTGTTGAATAGAAACGATTATTCCACATTCCAGCAACTAAAAAGCCAACCGTACAGTTATGCGTTAACCATTTTACATCTCGCATCAAAATTGGACTGCGTTCAGGTGCCAATGAACGTGTATCCCCTGCGAAAAATAAATGTGCCAAGTAAGTACCACTGACAAATTGAATAAACATTTTAATTAGTGGGGTTTACGGTGTAACTTACAGAAAAGTAAATCAAAATCAACGGTAACCGTTTGTAAAAAGAATCCATCCATGCTCCAATCAACGTGCTGTAATGGTTGTGTGCCTCGAATTTTACTTTGTCTTTTATAGGAGAAGCCGTCTCGTGTGACACGGAACAGATAAATACATCCATTTTCCGAACCCATCGCAATGACATCGCCCACTATTTTCGGAAAATAGTTTTTTTTTTTAAATGAAAAATTAAAAAATGCACCAAATTAATTCGAAACATCATAGTGTGATTTTTCAATGGGTAAGAACAACTTTCGAGTTTATGAATCCATTCAAATATCAAAAGGTAATTGAAAATAAAGACATACCTTGATTGAAAGCAATGCAATTCAATGGTGCTGCACAAACTCGTACCGTTGCTGCTGTTTCGCCACTCTCAACGCTCAATACCAATAAATGGCCTGCTGTCGTTCCAACCGCCAATGCATTTCCGAACGGATGAAATGCAAGTGAAATACACTCAAAATCGACACCAACCGTCCAAATTAGTTTATGCTTTCGCCATAAAACAATCGTTTTATCCATGCCGGCCGTGGCAAACACTTCGTCTTCTGGATGTACAGCCAAACCCCATAATTGACGTCCATGACCGAAAATTACTTCATTAAATCGACGTTGCAATGAACCTTCGACGATATTATTTTTCGTTGTACCCACATAAATATTACCATCATCTCGACCAGGTCGTTGTGGAAAAATTGTTCGTACACCACCTGCCGATTCGTGTAATTTTGTGTCGGCAATGTGTTTATAATTTTGCAACGAATCCCAAGCGGCGATCTTTCGATCTTTTTCGCCGCCCGACAATAGTGTACCGTCGGGTAGCATATACAAACAACCAATGTCCTTCATATGAGCTTCAAATTCCATTCGAATAAAATACATTCCTTCAGCATCAACACTGTAAACGGATATGAAACCATCACTGTCGGCAGTTATAACATCACCTTCGGCTTCAAATTGTATGCTAGTGATACACGTTCGATTTGGTTGTTTTATCATATCGGTTCGTTCGAAGCAGCCATCTTTTCTTCGATGCCAAAATGCCAAATGGCCTCGACCATATGTTATAATTAAATTATCGTCCAACGGATGAAATACAGCGCCGAGTAGCTCCTCTTGCAATGTCTGCAAAAATCAAATAAATGAATGATGAAAAACAAGTTGAAGGAATTCAAATAAAACATCTTAACAATTGTTGATTTGCCGTTGATGTGATGATATCGAGAACAAATATGAGAAAAAGAAAAACTGGGCCATAAATTTAGGACAAAATATGAAAAATTTCCCGATTAATATTCATTCTCACCCACTTTTCCGCTTCCGCTCTAAATTCTAGCCACAATTACCATACGACACACATGACTCGCACCACTCACGTACGTGATTAATTAAATGTTTACGAGTATGACAAATGTTTGCGCGATCGAATTTCTTCGAAACAAATACGGAAACGCTTTTTTACAATGAAATTGGAAAACTTTTCGTTAGATGGCTAACCGATATGAGTGAAAAATGTTTGAATTGTTTATTCAGTTGTATTGCGTGGCAATTTTTGCATATCGGCATCGTTTTCCGAAGATGTCCTTGCTCAAACTCAAAACACATAAATAGTTTGGTGCTACCGCAATGATTCAAATGTACCGGAAGTCTATCGAAATGAAAATGTGCTTTAAAACGATACGAGAAAGAAAAAGAAAAAAAACCCAACATATATTTGTATTCCTATGATAAAATGCCATTTTTGTTGCGTGTGAGTCAACCGAACCAAGAAGTTTTCAAGGTGATTTCGTGCAGCGCGTAATATTTTCTTATTTTCACAAACACAAAAAATTATAAATCATTTATTCAAAAGTGCGTATATCACAGAAATGTTTGCCGCCGCACATATTCAAGGCTGAATTTCATTGATCCCAAACGACGAACAAAAAAAAATTGAGAAAAGAACCATGAATCAAATGTTTTTTAACATTTCATTCGGGCTATTTATGATAAACTTCATAACGCTCCATAAATTCATAATTCAACACATTTGCCAAATGTTTCATTTAAAACAAATATGAATGTAAAACCCCATTATCCCACATATTTTATGTGTATAATTATTATTTGGTATCAAGGTACAACACACCCCGAAAAAGAAAATTGGCATTATCGAAGGTGGCTGTAACGATCGAGTGTTGTTCATGTATGTTCTCATTGCAAATTTGGGCGTGAACTTTATTTCATTTTATTGTAGAATAAATTCTGATCTGATATCATTATCGATGGTCAATTCCAGTCATAAGCTTAACGGTATTTAATTCAAAACAACACGATCGATGAATATGAAATTAGCGGAACTATCAAAGGCAAAAACAAAACAAAAAAATCCGGTATCAAAACATTTTTCAAAGGTCGAACTTGAATTTACCATTAAAATTCGATTTTAAATAACTCAATTTCGCGTAGCACTGATCATCATAAATGGTCATGAGTCATTGCCTCTTGGTAGGCAGGTACATAAATTATGCCATATTGTATGGCATTTAATGGGTTATTATGCGGTGATTTTTCGGCTATTCAGTAACATAGAGATAGCATGTTATCAAAACATAAACAAAAACGATTGAGAAATCGAAAGTGGAAGACTACTGTAAAAATTGGAAGAAATGCTAATTGCCAATATGAAACGATGCCAACAATAACAACACTAAAACATTTGCATCGTCGAAAAGTTGAAAACGATTTTTCGAAGTTTTCGACAATTGGTCGAAACGGTTGGGCACGTGTATATTTGAATGTGTTCACGGCCGTTTGATTTTCTCGTGTTGTTTTTTTTTTGTATTTACATTTTTGACAGCAGTTGGCTACTTACTGCAATATCCATAATAATAACGGAATCGAAAGTTGTTTTTGTTTATGTGCAAATAAACACAGCACACATGAAATATGGCGGCCAACCGATCGAAAGCGCACAACCGTACAGTTCAGCCGAAAAAATGTATCATAATCGGTTTTGGCATAGTTTCTGCATTACTTTGGTACACACTAAAGTGAGGAAGAGAGACGTCTTTGTGCGACCAAAAGACGTACGACACTATTGGTCTCGAAGTTGCCACATGGAATCGAAGAACAAAACGACTCGAAATGGAATTTCATTTTTTTTCTTCTCCAAAAAAAGAAATCATGGGAAAAAAAATACATCGCGTGCAACTGTGTTTCAAAGCAAACGGTTCGGCGAGCGCAATTGGTTTTGTTGTATTGTCGACAGCCATATCATAAACTTGTGATTGCTTGAGTATCGTGTTCAATGTTCGTCGTATGTATACTCACACAAATGTTCGTAAGGCAATGCTACTAAATATTCTTCGTATTCGTCGTGATGAAATTCACTGAATGAGTGAGTGAGCAAGTGAGCGAGCGAGTAAAGTGTTGTTTGTTGTTCAGAGTGAGTGTGTTTCCACGGAATTTTAAATTACATGTATAGACGGAATGTTTTTTTGCATGGCTACTGAAATGATTATTATGATTATTAGAGACGAAATGGAAAATAATAAGTGGCAAGAAAAAGGGCTTTTTATGGCATTTTATGAGTATGATTTATATATTGAAAATGACGTAGTAAATGTGCTTTGAGGGAGCTCTCGAATTCTACGTGTAATCTGGTAGTATGCATTGGGTAAGAATGAAAATGGTATGGTTCGATGCATGAGTCGCCGTGAAAATATGCTTTTTTTTACAGCTTTTTGACTAGAAAAACTGTATTTTCGTCTTATGTGATGGTCACTTAATGATTTTTTTATGTTCCGAGTTTTTTTTTTGGTTGCTCGCTGCCCGCAGCACATTCAGTCGGTCACAATTAAAATTGTGTGATATTGGGTTATAAATAGCTACGCTTTCACGTCACCCTTAAACCATTGAATTGGATTATTGTTTTTATCTTGACCAATCAAAACATTTATGAATAACAACATATTTAGAAAAAATAATAATAATAATGAATGACTTGTGCTTACCGCCACTTTTCCTAATAGATGACCCCATTGCCATTGCCAAACGCTTAAAATCGAATCGGCACTCGAATCCGTGGCCAAAATATAGCTACCACCATTCTGTTGAAGCGAAACATGTTGATGTGAAACAATTGATCAAAAAAATGTGAAATTTACAACAGAAATCATGTACTAAGTAGTTTGCAGAAAGTGAAATAACTCTTACCAATTGAGAAAATGCAACACTAGTCACGCCGCCAATTAATTCACCCATTCCGAATACGTACAGTGTTTGCAATGAATCCGTACTCCAAATGCGAACGTGCGCTTGTGATTTTCGATCTGCGCCAGCTCGTTGACCTGATGCAACTAATTCACGTGACGGATGTACGTCCATTCTAAATTCAACGAAAAGATTTCAGAAAAACAATTGCTTTTTTCGTGTTACAAATGAGTTGTAAATTTGCGATGTTTCCTTTTTGTGATAAAAATCAGCGCATACAAAAGCAAAAATGAACAATTACTTGCACTCACGTCATTATGTCTTCGGTGTGACCAGTGTAGTGGCGTTGCGTTCCTTCATCACGATCGTAGATAATTGCAATGGCAGCCACATAGTAAAGCATTTCACCTGATGGAAGAACCCACAAATTTTTATGTGTATCGCGCCCTCGATAACCATGAACCCATTGTAATTTCAATTTTTTATCGGGTGGTGAATTATCAATTACTACATGCTGATTTGGTGGATAAAATGTTCGACGAAGACCGCGAATACTTAACTTGATTGGTTCCTCCTTAATGTAATCAGATGATGAATAATCTACAGATTTTTAACGATACCAACGAAAATGTAAGAAAAAGAGAGAAAAATGGAAGAGTTGAAAGAAAAACTGAACCACTTCATGGAATGCAATTATATGGTAATCATCATTAGAGTGTGTCGCCGAGATATCATCAATGCTAAATACCGTGCGAAAAGTCTTAATTTTTGCACAATCGAAAAATAACCATCTTGCAGTTTATTACTCAATTTGTATGTGTGTGCGTGTTCTTACCTCCATTTGATCGATTCTCCGTACTATCGGCGGCGTAAAGTGTACGTGGACGACTTTTACTGCGTGCACGTTGTCGAACTGGCACATCATGATTGATCACTGTATTCATAATGCCATTGCTCGATCGTGATCGTCGCAATGGTGAACCTATTGGTATCATCGATATTGGTGATATGGCCCGTGGACCAGAGTCCAAATAAAATGTCTCCACGTCAGCATACTCATTTCGGAGTTGTGAAAAACTATACACCTCTTCACCGTCTGATGTGTACATCCGCTTTGTTCCAGTCATCTTTAATACTTGTCCCAGATCCTCGAGCACCTCTTCAAATGGTTGTGATGTGCGTAGATTTAGCAATACACGGCACTAAATCACACAGCAATCGCACCAGTCATTGAAACAATAAATTGACGCACACAAATTTCATTATTTTAATCGCATTAGACTTAGAATTAACGGAAAAAAATCGAAAATAAAGGAATCGAAAACTGTGCGAGCGACAATGGCTCACACGTTTCACAAATAAAAAACAACAACAGAAAACACGCAAAATTCCTATTCTGGATTATTATTATGTAATTCGTATTGCATGCACATAAATTCGAATTTTGATGTTGTAGCTACCTGTACACTTTGATCCATATTATTAACAATGCGTATAATGCGGCCAGCGCTTGGTTTGATCGGCGACGATGGGGTTAAATCAGCATCAACGATTGATGTATTTCGGCCAACCGCCTTACTGCCCCAGCCCTGGTGACTCGAATTGTACCACATTTTATTGGCTTACTATGTGTTGTCACAACACTGTTGTGTATGTGTACAACTCGAAAATCACTTAATTTATGAACAAAATTCGAAATCGTAATGAGATAATCAACGGCGGAAATTAAATATGTTTCTTTTTTTTCCCACGTGCCGCTCTATTAAGAAAATAGTTCTACTGTTGCGCCGACGAATCGAATTCGTCAGTTTTTTTTTTTTCGCTTCAACACGTTTTTACACAATACAAGTGAAAATCTATTCACTTCTTACAGTGTAACTATATAAATATATTTGAATTAAATAGATTCTTTAACTGGATTAACTGTTTGATTTTCTCATAATTATTTTTTTAATTACTTTTCACATTTTCTTTATTTTTCTCAAAAATTCCATGTAGAATATGATTTTTTCAACGATTTTCTCTAGAACTTATACTGTGTTTTCTTTTATAGTAACTATTTTCGTTCACCTAAATAAAACACACACTATTCAATTACAAATAGTTAAGTACAACATTAAATTAGGTATTGTTTGTTTTCTTTACTTTTCACTTCATGTGAAATGTTTAAATTTTCATTGGCGCGAGAGTTTAAAAATGCTTTGCGACCACATCGGAGGCATACTCATTTCAAACTGACGGCTAACCGACTCAAACGAATCCATTTTAAATCGCCAAAAACTGATTTTCATTTTGGTGCTAACGGTATGCAAACATATAGGCAAAACAGTTCTTCGATACAATACAGTCCAGTCTTGCGGGATTTTCCATTTCATTCTTACCTTTATCCATTTCAATCGAAATATTCGCTCGACCAAACACATTCACATATATAAAAAAATGGATTAAAGGATTTTTTTTCGCACGTTCACTATTTTTTCCCTAACATTATAAATTATGATTATGTACGAGCCAAGAAGAAATTGTAAAAGAGGGAGAGAGAGAGAGACTGTGCATGTGTCCGTGCATGTGTCGTTTCGAAATGTCCGCAAAATGTTCTTGACTTTCTCTCTCTGTCTCCATTCCGAACAATTCCACAACAAAATAACGACAAAGAAAGGAAACAATGAAAAGTACAGCTTTTTTTGTTTCTTTGACTATTTTTTTTTTTTTGTTTCTGCTTTCTCTTTCTTAACAATTCGATTTTGTGTGACTTGGTGCGTTTTCGCTGTCGCATTTCATATTCTCCAATTCAAATGAGAAAAGTATTTTACATAACAGAAGTTAGTAAAACAAAAGTCGCGCTTGGCTATATATTACACATTAAGTTGAGTTCAAGTGGCTCCATTGAGTAACTAACACGAAACATTTACATATATTGACGACTAACGTGGAAAAACAGCGTACATTACGTGCTCGATATTTATTGCTTAGATGACTGTTGATCCCGACCAGAAATATTTTACCATACACACTCTCTTCGTGTTGATATCACTGACATGGAAATAAGTTATTGTTTTGTTTCATTTCCAGCGAGTGAAATGTGTTCATTTTGTGAGCTATACAATTTTCACCTGGGTCAGTTCCATCATCGAAGCAATCGATTCGAGACAAAAAAGAAATAAAGTTGTACATAAACAACAGAAAAAAGAAGAAATCAAAATACAGTTTTGGTCAGTTGGATTGTTTTTTCCGTTAATTTTTGTTTCGTTAGTCGCTTTGCTGTTTGTCGAACGCTTTTCTATACGTGAGCGATAGACATAAAGAAAACAAATGCTATGCTGCACTGTCGACGACAACAACATCAACGACGATGAAACTGAAATGAAACGAAGAAAAAGGAAAGAAAAATTAAAATATGTTAATGGTGTTAAACACGCTTCATGTGGCATTGGGACTCGGTCCAATAACTATGTAGTAAGTACAGCTTATCACATTTGTCCAATCAATACTTGGAGAAGTGAAGTTTTGTGAAAATGAATGTTGTTGCGGTGTTTACAGTGGCGGGGTGAAAGGATTTTATACTACTCACGAATAGAGAAGAAAAAGAAGAAGAAAAACAAAGGAAAAATGTCCGAATTGTGCAGCATTTCTTCGTCTCGATGTGTCATAAAGCTTTGATTCGCGCGAGCGCCCAACTTCAAACATATGTATATGAATTCGGACAGCTTGTCCATTTGCAATGGCATGAACGGCAACAACATGACTACGCACTCATACTTTTACCATTCACCAGCGACAATATTGTATTTTCTAACTCGTAGAGGTTCAAGGTCTTCCTATCCGAAACATATTAATTCATTTGTCTTTTCTCTTTCCACCACTTTGTCCATATTAGAGTTCATGCATTGCAAAAAAGAAAAACAAGAAGAAGAAGAAAAAAAACAAAAGAAACGGAATAGATAAACGATGTGACCACCAACCGTTCCACGTGCTTTCGTTGCAACAATGTATATATGTGTAGGCAATATTCATGAGCGTCCACACAAAATATATGATTATTTATGATTAAGTGCAGACTAGCACATTATTCAATTGCACGTTTATTTAACTGGCCACTTGGAGCCCGCCAACTACTCCACGAACAAACCGCTTTCTTTCACTCTCATTCTCGTTTGTCCAATTTCTCGTTCATTTTCACCCGCTCTGTATATACCCTTTCGACAAACGTCGGTCGCAGTTTTTCGCACCATCAATTTCGTGAATGAAGACAGGCCATTTGTTGTTTGCTTTTTTCGTTTTTTTTTTTAACTATTGATAACAACAGTTCGTTGGTGCTTTGCATGGAATGCGATCCATATCGTATGATTTGTGCACGTTTATCGCGTCTCGCCAACAAAATCGAAACAATTGAGGCAACAGCATGGTGATGGGACTGAGTGTGAGTGCCATTGTTTCCGGAATGTATACCGTGTAATTAAATGAAAAGAAATTATTATTCACATTCTTCGCAACAGACGAAATGCAATGCAAATCAAATCAATAAACAATCATTTTCTATATGAAAAATGCTAGATGATTTTGATTTTGATTATGTTTTTTTTTTTTTTATGAAATCAGCAGCGAGAAAAAAACGCATTCGAATTGATTTCAATTTGTTCTGTCGCGTATGAGCGGCAAGCAGCTGTGAAAATGGCGAAAACAACAACAATGCGACAACCATTCGAAAAAGAAGAAGAAAAAGAATAATTGTGACTTGCATTCAATGTATGCACATTTTCATCGCATGTGCGAGTGCAGAACCTCCTGAAAAATATGCTTAACTGTTCAAATTAGAATATGCCCTTGTACTCTGGTCGCTTTGATGCAACAGCACAGCATAACCACTATTTATTATACACAAAAGGTGGGCAAAATGCTTTTACACGTTTAGCAAAATTATGGAAATTGTGTGTGCAAAGCCAAAGTGTATGGAAACATGCTTATTGTACAATTTCACCATCGTTCATTTGCAGTCGTCGCGCGTTAAGTAAATGAATTGTAATAAATTTGTTGAAAATGATGGACATTGTATTTTGGCTTGCTCATTTCTATCGCTGTTTTTCACGGAAAACCATCCGGCACTGGCTGCTAACCTTTTACATTTTTGTTTCATTCGGTGGTGGTGCAGCGACAAAGAGAGAAAGAGATGTGAGGGCAGAGCAAGCTCGATTAGCTACTCGATTCGAGGTAAAAACCATCAATTTTGAATGCTAAATAACACGGTCTTTAAACACAAGATTCGGCTAATTGCTTAGAGCTTCTAAAGAATGTACTTTGAAATGAACGCGAATTGAATACACCAGTATTTTATCGCTCTTCCATAATCTGCTTGACTAAGAACAGTCACTGGTTAACATTGAAATTCTGTAATCGAGCAAATAAACGAAATGATAGCAACATCAGTATTGTGGTTTTACTTCCTTTACAAATTCTTTGGTTGTTTTTTTCTTCAGTATTTGCTCTAAATTATTACCACTTAAGGATCATATTATCTTCTTCGTATACATTACCAACCGAAAATCTGTATAGATTACGTGTAGAGAAAGAGGGAAGAATAGAGAATAGTGACCAACACGCACACCGACTGAGCGCACCGGAAAAAAGTTGAAAATTATTATTGCTAGCACACGGAGTCGTGCTCGCGCGCGAACACAGTAAACGCTTTTAAGTAACTCAATATTCGAAAATGTAATGTTATCACATCGGAATGGCTCCGACTATAGCATTCAGCATTTCCTTCCGAACACCATTACGACGTACAAAAACTAACAAAACGATTAGTACCACCAAAATCACATTGTATATATTTAACTCAACGACTTTTGGATCCAGCTTCTTATTGTTGTATCTGATACCGAAAAATAGACATCTCGCCAAGTTTTATTGTGATAAATTCAGTACGCAATTCCTTCATTTTTCTGTATTCTCAAATGTGTTGGGTGTATTGTTGTGATACACAACAAAGATAAAGATGATACTCGATTTCTGGTTTGGTGGAGTCGATATTTTTATTTATACGTGTGCACTTATTTACTTCCATTACACCCGCTTCTCATTCAATCTGTTTGCGTAGCTATTAAATGGAAGAAGTTCTCGGTTGGCCGACTGCTGTGTTTGCCAAATTGATTCATTTTGTGATTCCTTATCATTTAAATCTTTTAGTTTTATCGTTTTTCTCATTACGGCCATGTTTAATCATTCATTCAATTCTGAAATGTGATTCCATGTTGATTGTTGAAGCATTTGCTCAATTTAAAAACTGTGATGATTCGATTCAACTCTATATTGATGCCGTTAACAGCATTGCATTATAACCGTTGATGAAAATTTAATGATGAATGAGTCGGTATAGGGTACGAAGTACTTCACAACACAAATGTCCTTGCATTTTTAATCAACAATCAAGTCATCATCATGATCGTCAACAACATCGCAGGTCAGGGTATAGTTATGCAGTTAAGTTTCAATTGAAGCAATGGGTTGGACGTTAAGCTTCGATTACATCACACACACACACGCAAAGAATGGAATATAAATGAATCCACTGGAGAAGAAATGAAATCCTGAATGCGAATGAGAGTGTGTAGAACTGTAGATAGTAGCGCAGAAAGAGTTTGAAATTAAATTGAAAACTTTGTGTAAAAAAAGAAGAAAAAGTAATAGACTAAAAAATTGAGTACAATATTGCACATTCATTTCACTAGAGTGAATACACAAATCCATATAGCAACAATGGAGTGGTGATGGTGGAGCGTGTCAAGAAGAAAAATATGAGTATTTGTTGTTTCTTAAATGGAATTTGCTGTTTAACTTTTTCCATTTTTGTGGTAATTGAATACGAACAGTTGCTGCTGTGCTACTGGATGGGATCGTGCTGGCGGGAGAGAGATACCATATTGTATGGAGGAATTGTATCACATGGTTTCACATATGGCACGGAATATTTATATTGGCCAAACAATGAACAGAATGCTAAAACTTGTCCTGCACACCATCGCAGAGAGAGAGAGAGAGAGAGAGAGAGACATTCAGGCATATGCAGACGGGGAACGGTATGGAATAACGAATTGGATACAAACAACGAAGTTTTAGCAGTGGAATTGAAATTGATGTTTCTCTTGTTCATGTTTTGTTTGGCAGCCAATGGCAAAACGAACACCGTACAACTCTCACCAGAAACACACAATATTCGAATAACGTCATTCGCACTCGTCTTCTCTCCCTCGTTTTCTCTCTTTCGCACACATTCTCTCCGGCCATTGCTAATGCTGCTGATTCTGGTATTACTCTGCCGTCACTTCTGGCAACGGTGGTGGTGGTGGTGCACTTATTTGGAACGAGAACATAATGAGAATAATAATGCAGTGCCGAGTAAACAACTCGTATCATATATCGTTTTACGTTTTGTAAATGAGTAAATTGGATATTTCTTTCAATTTCCCACGTGATCACGCTTTTCATCGAAACACAAACTTCTTTTTCATACATTCTTTTACGCCAAATGAATGTAGCATGTATGTTCTGATTATACAATTTGTTATTAAATGTGTTGTTCCATTTAGCGAAGAAATTATATGGTTGCTGAAGAGTGCGAGAAGAGGTACTTCGGCTGATCCACTTTTGCGAAACACATTTTTTTTCAACCAACCTCACGTAGACTGTCTGATGTAGCATTCAAGATAATGAATAATTCCAATTAGAATAATAACAAGTATTCAATTTTCCATATAATTTTATTTTAAATAATATTTAGGTTCACAAGGTCTTTTGATTTTGCTGTTGTTGTTTACTTTGTATGTATTTTAAAAAGTTTTACTATGTAGTGCTAAACGAAAGATAATAAATATGGATATGGAAAATGTTAATTGGTCGGGGAATTCGAAGGTACGAACAAAATGAATGAAAAAATAAAATAAAATGAAACCGAATTGTTATTTAGAGTAAACTTTGCAATGTCAAATCCTTTCGAACGGCATTGTTGTATCCTTCCTTATAACGATACCAAATGGGGCTTTTAACTATTTGGTCACGTCCACCTTCTTGTACTGGTAACGCTACACGTTTTTCGGTTATGCGACCGAAAAAGTCCTTTGTTACCTGAAAAAAAAATGCAGAAAAAACGTAACGGTCAAACAAGTTGTGTCAGGCTAATTGTGTAAAAGTCACTAAATTGAACGCTAAAATGATCGGCCTTTCAAAATTGCTTTCAATAAAAAACAAAACACTTTTCCACTAGTTTACAAAATACAAACAAGCCGAATAGATAAAGTTCGAACTGATTAAGACCTAAAATAAACATATAAAAAGGTCACGCCAAGTTACGAAACGATGCGATAATATTTTTAATGATGCAAACAACAACGCATATTCAACGCAAAATTTTATTAATTTAGTTACATCTTAATCGATGATTCCTCTCGTCATGTACACATACATTCCATATATATGTGGAAACTTTCCTTGTGTTTTGTTATTGTTGCACAATTTTTTTTCTGTGATAAAAAACGTTTTGTCTCATTTTGTTGATTCTATTTTTGATCTTAATGAAATCACACGAGTCTTTTTTTGTTAAACACGTCAGAAATGTGAATGCAAATGCCTTGTCGTTGAGTTCAGTATGCACAGTTGCATGTGATTGATTTTTCAATTAATAGACAAACGTTATCAAGTGGCCTGTAAACATCTCATTCAGAAAGGGCGCTCGTGATTTGTGATAACATAAAATCTAGTCAATACACTGATGACAGCATTATTTTGAAAAAAAAAAAAAAAACTTATAAAAAAAACCGATGTTTCCGCTCGGAAGTAATCGGAAGTAACGAAGTAATTTGTTGCTGGTACAAAGAGCGATTGATATTCGATTTTCAAAGCATACAGACGAGCGTATCGTGCAAGTTGACACGTATCAAAACGACGACGCACTGGCAAACAGAATTATTAAGTACTAACAAAGGTGTTTGTTATTATTGATTTTTGACGCTTAATTTTCCTGGCACAGCAACTCTGGGCATGCAATACAATGAAATTCCTTTGCTTTCTCGCAGCCGGTCTTCTATGCATGCACTATATTTTATTCTGGGTAAGTTGAAATTTATTCCCATTTTTTCATTATATTTCCAAAGAAAATAATTTAAACAACAAACTTTCTTACTTTTTTTTAAAATTAGGTCATGTGTGATTGCTGTTATGGTTATAAGCCATAATAAAATATTGACAAGAATAATTTGTGATTGGAGATATCTTTGGGACAATAAAATGTGCATAAAACCGGCAATTTTAAGAAGAAATAAATTGATTTTGTTAGAATGAAAAAAATTTAAAAATATTAAGTGTTTAATTATTATATAAAAAAATTGTATAATTCGTGTGAATGATATATTTTATCAGTTGGCAGACGAAAGTTCAATTACGAAGAAATCAAAACGAAAGCATCATACTTATAATTTACAAAATTATATAATATTGTTGTTCGAGCAATTTTCAAACAAAATTTGTTAATTTTTCGAAATTTGAATATTGTAAAAGGACATACCAGTTCTTTCATTTTCATTCGCATATTGACGGATTTTGTGTTCAATTTTTGCAAGTGATTTTGTGGCTTTGGCTTTGATAACGGCGCTTTATTCGACTTCGTTGTATTCACGCCACCATCCTTCGGTGCTGATCGCCTCATCGTTTGCAATTCCACTTCACGCGCGATTATCTGCATATTAGAATAGGTCAGTTCGTTTGTCCATTGATTAACTAAGGCGAAAAAACCCGAAAGAAAACAAAAAAAAGTCGGAAAAAATAATCAGTGGCAATTTTCCAGCTGAAATTGGTGTTACAGTACCTTTGAAATTGCACAAAAAATTAATGTCGGGTTCAAGTTGATACTGATATGTTCCATCTGGATTTTTTGTTTGTGCATACGTTAAACCCAAATCAACCATGACATCAACTGTATGTGCTAGATCAGCTCGTTCTCTATGTTTCGAAATTAATTAGCATGATTTTTAAAAAAAAATAATAAAACGATAAGGATTCTTTTGATTAGAAAAAAAATCAATTCATGACTGTTTTTGACGTAATAAATGATTTGCCCTTACTTTGGTGTGAGCAACTGAAGTGACACCGAACGCAATGAAGGACAAATAATTTGTCGTATACTTGCTACTGCATCCGATATAATCGTTGGACTATTGGCCAAACTGCGAACCATCACCGACAAGCTCTTAACGAACGAAGCTCGAATTGTCTTTTGTGTACTGGACTTTTGATAGTACTATAGAAAACATAAAAAAGACGTTTCACGTTAATTATAGTCCGTGAAAAAAAAACTATTTTCATATTAATGGGTTTCATGTTTCATGATAAACACTTTCACTTGATGATGCATCTCACGTAGAATAGAGTTTGTTTTATGTAAAATTCATTACTGTCAAGAGTGAGATAACCTATGTGGATCATTCATTTCAATGACATTGCACAAAAGCAAGTAGACTTTCATGTTTAACGCAGAAAACCTGTGCACATAAGCAACATTCACGCATTCTTCCTCTATTCATAGCAAGTTGAATGCATCTTTTTATAGCTGATATAAATTGATTTTATGAGAGCAAATGACAAACAAAGCAGTGGTTTGACTTTGCCATCGTTTGTTTAACTAAATTTATTTACCTCAAAGCCTTGTGTTGGAAAAGTAATTTTAGGCCACGAAATGCCAGCAAACAGCAAATGCCAGGCAACATAAGTGTACGGTAAGTATGGATAGACACTGTAATTTTGTACGGTTTGAATTTGTGTATTCAATATATCGGTAAAACAAAACCATTCACCCGCTTCAGTAATGTTCAAGAGGTTGCCGTCGACTTTTTGCGATAGATAATTTTCGAAAACGCCATTGACAAGCCTGTATGAAAATTATATAAATAATTCCACATTGAACAAAGGTATATAAATCGTTTCACACAACGAAATTGCATTATTTTGAATGAAGAAAATAATTTCACATTTTTTCATTTTGTATGTATTACCTGTCATTATCGCCACCCATGTGAACAACATTTAGCACATGTTCGACTCTTGACCGCATTGACGTATCAACAGTTTGTGGTATTTGTATCGTTGTATCGACACTTGCACCAATTGCTTTACATTGAACCGGGTCAAAACCACCTTTATAACGTTGAATTTGAAATACCGACGACCAAATTTCAAATAAACCTTTTTGCTTGTCTTTCTGACCAATATTCGATTTCATTACATCAACCAAATCGAGCGGTTTACGGCTATTTGCAAAGAATTGTAACACCGATATGCATGAACGTACATCGTTGCCCGATTTTTCAGCAAGTGCCATCAATGTGGTCATATCAGTCGTGAGCCTCTCCTTTCGTGCAATTGCATATAAACGTTCGGCAAGACGTCCACTATCCAATGGTGGAAATGTCACAATGAAGGCTACTTGACGTAGTGGTCGCAACGATGGTGCATAAATATCATTACATATGCAAATTATTGGACGACGTAATATACCACTTGCTTTTGGCTTTTTGCCACCCGCTTTGTCAGTTGGTGCTTTTGATTTTTTCACTTCTTTCGTTTGATCGTTAATGAATTTCAACAGGAATTCAATTGAAGCAAGCGGTGCACCATCAATTTCGTCTAGAATTTTATTGTGAGGAGGAAATTATTGCATAAATTATATTTAGTATGGCAATTAATTCACAATAAAGTATGATGACGACAATTCCTACCTAATATTATGCAATTTGGTCGTTTCTCTTGATCCAATAATGTGGTTTGCATTTCAGTGCCATTTTGTAATGCCAATCGAAAACATTCCGGACTTCGATCGTCCGATGCGTTTATTTCTCGCACTGTATAACCAGCATGACGTGCGATTGTATGAGCTAGTGTCGTCTTACCCAAACCTGGAATTTTAAACATTCATATTGACGTTGTCTCGTGCTCAATTTTGTTTACTATTTTCAATGAATTACCCGGAGGACCACAAAGAACGGCGATTTTCTGAATCGGTCTTCCATGAGAATCAATCTCTGTTTTCAAGTCATTTGGACGATGTTTACGGAAACGAACACTTCCCACCTCAAAACGACCGGTTTTCTTGTTGAAATTACTTGCCGCATTCTTTTGTTCGTTCGTTAGGTCTTTCTCTTTCTGAAACGACCTGCAGATACATACAACAATTTTATCATGCTATAGTGAGAAAATTTTCTACAGAATCAACATGATTTTAGCTCACCTGCCAAAGACGATTTTATCCCACATCTTCAACCATGTCAGCAGACTACGGTTCGTGGATTCATCAGATAAAAGGTCAAAATATCCCTTTGGCTTGTACTTTTCCACCCATAATTTACCTGCATTTGGTATTGCTTCATTCACAATAACAACTTCGTCGATTTCACTCAATTGTTCTGCTTGCGATTGAGCCTGCTGTGTCATTCGATTTGTGACGATTTTTTGCGCTTCATTCCAAACATCGTCACTGTGTTCGCCCAGCAATTTACCAAAACTCTTTCGAAGCGTCAACTCATTAAGTTGATTCTTTTCAAATTCTTCGTTATGCATACGAACATAAATGCGACTTCGATCGGTCACCACCGGTATACATGGCCATTTTGGATACACTTCTGATAAATTTCTTGCTTTGAATTGGTGCAAAGCTTCGAGCTGCTGTAGTTTAGATTGTTTCATGATGTTATTATTTTTCGCTTGCAAATCGGCTCGAGCCGCCAAAATTCGTTCAATAATCATATTATCTTGTTCTTCTTCGGATCTTGCTTTCTTCTTGGCATTTTCCTCAACATCGTCCGAATAGAATACTTGTGCGGCTCCTCTCTGCTCTTCACGCACAATGTCATCAATATCGCCAAATAGATCTAAGTCCAAACGACGTTTACGTGGATTTTGTTCGATTGGCGGTAAGTTATTCTCAAATTCGTCGTCGTCGAAACGAAAACGATATGGATTTGGTGTATGACATCCATTGGCCGACGAAAATGGCGTTGAAGCCAATCGATTTGAATGGTTACCATCGTTCAATGGTGTTCCAAACAAGCGACGATTCACTGTGTCATTCGGTGGAATTTGTGACAATTGGGTGCTGTTGTGGAAAAAACTGTGCTCACCACGATTTGATGACGGTGTATTTTTCTCCGTGGGAAATTGCTGTGACAGAGGCTGTGATTGTGGCTGCGACATAGGCTGGTTCGTTTGCACCGCAGCGTATTCATCTAAAATGCATCCAAAGTCCATTTCATTAGTCTATGTGATTTTGATTCGGAATATACTGGCTTTACTTACAGAATTCAGCCATTTCCTCCTCTGTTGGATAATCCATTTTTGTTTTTACGTTTAATATACTCGCAAAAATTTACAAAGAATATTTCATATTTTAATTAATATTGATTTTCTAGAACAAAGCAAATAGAATGTTTTTCTTCGTGTTGTGTGTTGTTGACTGGACTGTCAACATTTTCGCGCTCAAATCATGGCGGAACGAATGACATCTGCTGTTTGTTAGGCGAAACATGTGATGTTCGAAAATCGAATTCACTACAGATGGGGTTGCTGTCCAATATTCGGTTTTTGATTATTTTAAAAATATTTTAAATCGGACGATAGAAAGAATTATGTCTACGAATGTATTTTTAAATTTGAAATTCACAACGTTTCGAAAATGGTATGAAAAATGTGGCTACATATTTTTTTCTTGCATTTGCATTTGAATCAAATTCAAATCGATGTGAAAGTATTCGAATATCATCAAAATCATGTAATTTTTACAAAATTAAATTTTGGGTGTTAAATTCGGACGCTTTCGTACAATTACGTTGTTTTTATACATGTAACACATATTGAAAAGAATTGGGAAAACTGAAAAATGTACGCTATAACAATAGCAGATAATTCATGTCAGATGGGCTGATCACTCAACTCAATGTCTGTGTTTATCAACTGAAAAACTCTGTAAAAAAAATTAAACGGCTCTGCTAAAAAACTGCAGCAGAAGCATTGGCGATTCCGATGAATCAAAATGTCAAAGCCGTTGTGATGAAATCAACTGTCAAACTCGCTTCTGCTGACTAAAGCAATACTGCGTATTTCACAACTGTGATCGAACACAGAAATTGAATAGTAAGATTTTCACTGATTTTTACTACAAAAGAACCAAAAAAAGTTCCGAAATGTCGTACAAGAAGATTGGCGAGGTAAATTATCATGGAATTATTGTATTAGATTTATTTAGTTTGATTTCCGCTAGTAATTTATCTGAATCAGACAATTTTATGATTATGTGTTTTGCGTTTCAGTTGTATTTGGCATTGGCTGAACTGGAAAATACCACGGGTGTCTTCAATTGTGAACGCAATGTCGCAGCCATTGATGAATTGAAAAAGCGAATCAAATTGGAGATTACATCCTTTCAAACTAATACAAAGCGAGTGAAGGATTCTCATGTGTTTGTCAAAACAATGACTGGGGGATGTTTGACAATCAAATGCTGTAGTGGCGTTGGAATCGGTCTTAAAATGAAACCCGTACTCTCCGATACAGTCAAAATGCTGAAACGAAAAATTCGCAAAATAGAAGGTATTCCGGTCGATCAACAACGTCTAATTTTTGGGGAAAAACAACTCGAAGATGACGCAACATTGGCTGAATGCGGTATTCAAAGTGGAAGTACTATACATTTGGTTCTTAGACTTCGTGGTTGTTGAATGTTGCATGAGTTTCAAAAATTAAAACATTCATTCGAACCGTATTGTTTGACAATTGAAACATTAATAAACTCCCAATCATATTTATCCAAAGGATACACATTTTGTTGTTATTCAAATTTTTAGCTTGAATTGTATTTTCATGTACGTGCATTTCATGTAGGGACAATTCTCAAAAATATTGTAAAATGTTAATGTTTTTGTTGAAGGTTAATTCATTCATATCAAACAAACTGAGAAATTATTTTAGTCATTTGAATAGTAAATTTATTACTAGAAAAAGGTAAGGAGACGAGGAGATATTATTGTTTAATTATTTTCTTAGATTCATATAATTTTATTTGCGTGGATTTAAACAAAATCATACATTTTTATCATGATTTGTCCCAATCGAATTTGGCTTCGACCAAAAATAGACTATGGCTCTGCTGTATTCAGACATAATGCCAAAGCTATGGAACTGAAAAAGGAAATCGAATCCAAAATCTGATTTGCAAACCATATGGATGATGACATAGAAGGTCATTTCAATCTGAAAATAAATTGCTGTCATGGTGTCGGTTTGTATATTAAAACGAAACACTGGATTACGATCGAGATGCGCAAAGCATCAATATTTAAGTTTTGGAGGAAAATTCTGATTATTCATTTGAATTGGAAATGGAAAGTGGCATACTATATTCGATACAGTCTCTTCAATGTGTTGCTGCAAATGAAGACTTCTGTTTTGGCATTTTTTAAGGTCTTCAATTGCAAAAGCAAGTTGAAAAGAAAATTTGTTGTTGTCACAAAATTGAAATGTACCATTCACATCTATACAATGCGACAGAAAAAGAAAAGATGGTATGCTGATTCAATTCATGGTAAAAAGACAGTGTCTATTAAAGAAATCTGCTTCTTCCAATGCTTTTAATATAATTACAAAAATATACACAAATGAACCATCTATCAATGAAAAAGAATCGATTTTTTATTTCTCGAAAAGTTTGAAATCGCTAAAAATAATTTTTAAAAAATTCTTCAACTAGAACATTTCTGAATGTATTTTAAATATCTATTTTTACTTAGCGCTATTACTCGTAGTTTTATTGGTGCACCAATTTCTTTCATTTCTTTTAATCGTGATTTGATTTCATCTAAACTGCATGACAAAATGGTTATTGTATTCTTAATTTCTTCCGTTGTGAATTTGGCCTCATTCAACAAATAGTCTAAATGCGTTTTTATCTAAAAAAAAAAAACATTGAACAAGTGTGAGTGTCAAAACAAGTAAATTCGGTGACTTTACCTTGCGCGCAGAACAATTTTTTAATTTTGGATAGCGTTTTAGAACATTTAAATGATCAGATTCATTCCAGTTCAGTCGATGCGCGATATATTTCATTGAATTCTCAAATCCTTCTAGAGAATTCCGTTCCATGATTCGATTGGATTTCAGTCTGAAAATGGCAATTATCCTTTTTATCGCTATTCATTTCAATTTATATCTGATATGATATTGTTCTTACTTGTCAACTTTTGGATTACGATAGTTATGGATCATATATGATAAAATATGATCGACTCCGTTACGTTTAATCTCATATATTATCTCTTCAATTCGTTTCGCACTATATCGCATAAATGTCAGCTTGCAATTTAAAATACTCTCTCGATCTACGTCGTGCTTCACGAGAACGTCCAATTTTAATTTCAATATATCGGTTTTATGCGTTAAGAAAACTTCACTCCTCTTCCCAAAACGATCGGCTACCTTGCTCGCTGGTATCTAATAAAAGAAAGAAAATCTTATTTTCAGACACACAAGCATAATATTTTCACTTACATTTAACTTTTCACTAAAATAATAAATTGGATGATTGTTTCCAATAAACTGTTCACTCTCTAGTTTGCATTTGTATGTCTGCAGTTCAGATATGTCAACAATCATGAGTGGAATGAAATCATTCATGTTTTTTGGTTGCATTTTTCTCAGAATTTCTAATCCTTTCTTGATATCATCTGAAAGTGGTCGAAACAACACGTGATAAATAAAAGTCAAGAGCTCAATATTTGATAAACAATTTCCAAACGTTCATTGAATTAAAGGTTTATTTCATACCAATCGACATTTGAAGCAGAAATCCATTTTGCCTAATAGTTTCAGGTGTGATTTTATGGTTCATTAAATACTTTGCGTTGTTTTTGGCGGTAGCCAATTCATTAATGGAACTGATGTAGTCATAGTAGAGTTCAGACGATTCCAAGTTATTGCAGTTTAATAATGATTTTAGTGTTTCCACAATTTGAGCCTTTTCCAATGTATGTTTTTCCAATCGATGTAGCATTGCAACTGGCAAGGTATCCTTTTTCACAGTGTGTTTCTTAATTCGCCTATGACAAAAAAGAAAAAATATTTAAAAAAAAAATGACAACTTTCTTTTGGAAGTATAGTCAAACAATATCAATTTTTTGATATTTTTGGAACTGATTTCTTTCAATATTTTCAAAGATTTGCAATTTTATGGTAAAACTACAAGATTTTTTACGTTGAGGCTATGCATTTTTATGTAAAACGAACGACTTACTCATCAAAATCGGTTTCGGGGAGTAAAAAATATGATATTTTTACGGGCTTTCCAGCCAAAAGACACTGTTCACAACGACGAACAAAAATACCATCACTGTAACAAAGAGCGTACAGGCCATTCAATATTTCCATTTGGCTCATGCCATAGTCCAAAAGTATGTTTATTTTCTTCACAAAACTTCGAAATGACGAACCAAATATCATGTATCCAGGTTCAGCGATGTATTTTGAAATGTAATGCGGCTCTATCTGTAATAAATTGAGATAAGAACATGTAATTGTTAGTTAATGAAGTGATTTTCGTTGAATTTTTTGGATGTGGTAAAAATCCCGAAAAATAAAATTTATTTCATAGTCGAACCTCGAAACAGTATGGCAAAAAATGTCACTAATGTAGCCCTGAATACAGTTGAAGAATTCTATACAAAATAATGTTTTGTATTCGCGCATGTCGTTGAGTTATTTGGGGAATTTTAAAGTCAAACAAATGCGTCTATACAATTGAGATAAAAAAAACTGTATTACAAATTCAACATGTTTATTACATCTATTTGGCAATGGAATATATAATTTACTCATCAACATTTGATAATTAATTCGATACTGTATATAAAGCCAGCAATTTCATAATGTGCCAGTGAATTTCCATTTTTCATTAGATTCGCAGTATTGTTTCGCTTCAATAAAAATGTTCAGTTTCAAATTTTTCGTATTCGTTTTTATATTTTCCTTATTGAAAATAGTCCAAACAACAAAAACCGGTGACCATAAATCAGCTTTTAGAAATTTGTTTACTTTGCCAGGTAAATATTTCAGAATTCTCTGCATCATTTTGATCCAAAGAAACGAAAATATCGATTTACTGATTTAGATCCAGAGACGGTGAATGAGGCATTGAGGGAACGTGGAGGATTAATATGGAAACGTCCCGATTCATTGCCATTTCCATATATTTGGCATACATTCAAGCTCAATGACCCTGACACAAAAGAAGAGGTTGAATATATAATTCAAGACATACCCGTTGATAGATACGATGAAGTATTACAATTATTGGCTGATTTCACTCTCAAACATGAACCAACATACGTGGCGCTTAGTACGTCATTGATTTTATCGATTCGTTTCTATTTTTATTAATTGAAATATATGAAATTTGACAGAACTGTGGGATGATGCAGATGCTGTGAAACATCTCAAGTTTGCATGGGATCTTGCACTCAAACAGAAATTATCACTGGCTTGCTTTAGAAATGGATCAAGTGAAATTATTGGCATCAATATATTAAATATCGAAGGGAAAGATGATGAGATGTATAAATTATTCCCAGAAGTAAGTGGCCAAATTGATATTTTGTATGTTTTCACAAAGAATTCGTTTTCTTTTAAGGATTATGTTGGCATAAATTTCAATGCGTTAATTGAATTGTCACGCATGGTGCATGGAAGCTATGACATATTCAAATATAGTGATACATTTTTGAGTAGTACCGCTCTTGGCATCGCTCCATACTATCTCAGTAAATCGATACCAATTGACCTAGAAATGATTAGGACCAGAGAAAAAATATGCAAACAATTTGGCATAAAATTGTCATTGGCCATATTCTCGTCGAAACATTTAAATAAATTAGCCGATAGTCTTCATTTTAAAATAAAAAACGCCATCAGGTAGTATTTGCTCAAAGCTATTGCTCAAAGCTTATCATCATTGGAAAACATTCTTTCAGCTGTATGGACATTCAAAAAAGAATTCCCAGAATGAAATTGCCACGCGATATTTCTGGAGGAATAACTCTCAGGGCGATCCAATATAACTGGACCGATCATCAAGACGAAGCAACGAATTCCCTCATAAACTGAACAGCACAACAAATCTTTTAGAGAAGATCACAAAACTGATTGGGAAATTGTGATTTCAAACTTATAATTCAAATCCAATAAAAATGATTATTTACCCGAAATCTTTTGCTCAAATAATAAATTCGATTCTTTTCCTCAATATCCATCTTCTCCTTTTGAAATAGTTTTGAAAGTCTATTCAGCACACTTTCGCTTAGCGCCAATAATGGTGCAAAATCGTTGAATTCTTTCGGTTCCATCATATCTATTTTCACGATTTTTCTCTTCAATGCATCTAAAATTTGAAATGATTCAGTATTATTCAAAACTTATCTCTGAAATATTCACAAAACTAACCGATTTCGGAAGTGAGCAGTGATGGATTTTCGACAATTGTCTCTGCAGACACGTTTTTGAAACGAAGTAGTTTCAACTTATCATTTTCAACTGCATCGAGAGATCGTAAAGATGGAAATTTACTATAAATATTCGTTGCAACATCTATCGAGCAACCGAGATTCTTTTGAAGATTTTTGATAATATCCAATTTTTCTGGTTGAGATGCTACAGTTCGCACTTGGTATATAAATTGCACAGTTTGTAAATGAGTTGGAATATTTAAACGAATAATTTTTGAATTATTCAAAGCAATTAACTTGAATTTACTTGATAAAATCATTGTCACTTTTGAAAAGTTCTATTAAATAAATTAAACATTTTCAAATGAAAAAACAAAAACAACGAATTGTATTCGCTATGAACGCGTTTTGTTAGGATAGTAAAACGTGACGTCTGTCAAGTTGCTTTTTTGACAGCCGGTTCAAATGTGTACAACGAAATGTCAAAGTAAAACTTCGCTACTATCACATACAGAACGGTTTACTTACACATGATAGTTCTTAAAAATAAATAGTTGTATGCTTTTCTTTTAAACATTGCAATTCCAAATGGATTAACTAGATTAATTTTTAATAAGTGAGAAGAGTGCATTTTCTCTGACAATATCACGATCAATTGAATGTTGCATTACGCTAATTTCTAAATTCATTTGAATAATTTCTTCTTTGATGCGTGCAATAGCCTTCTTCAAATTGATAAATGGACTTCCATCGGACATTGTTTGACCACGCTGTTCCATTTGCATTTTGGTTGTTTCATATTCATGATTCAGTCGATCGAATACCTAGAGTTGATCAGAAGAAAAGAATGGAAAAAATGTAAATTAATCGATGCGTAATGGAACAGAATGGAAAATGAATCGAAGGAATGGATCAGGAACTGTAGAGTAATGGAATAGTAATTTTTAAGATCGAATACTTTTTCAAATTCAGCCACTTCGGACTGTGCTTGTTTCAGATGTTGAATTTGTTGAGCCTGTTCGGTAGAGATATTCTTGTATTGTTCAATCATTTGTTTTAAATCGTTGTTCAAATGTTTTTCACGACTTTCAATTTTATCCATGGCAAATGTTACGTCGTGTTGGATTTTCTTCAATTGAGATTGTGTGCTGTCAGATAGCTAAAAGAGAAGAAAACAAACCATTTTAAATTGGAAAATTGAAACGAATGCATGAAAGCCATACCGAATCGATATTCTCGCGACACACTTTCATTTGATCCCATCTTGCACGCCAGTCTTTCATGTCCGATTTAATAACTATTTTCAATCGTGGTATGGCTCGTTCCATTTCCATTTTCCACATTTCACCCGTGAGCATGCTACCCTTTTCGGCCTGGTCATCTTTGTTCGTCGCAGACAAATCGCGAATTTTCATATTTTCACGTAAATTCAATCGACCGGCAATGTCAATCTCATCGTCATCATCATCATCGACTTCTTCATCTGAATTGAAAGCTGTATACTGCTCTTCTTCGACCTTCTCCAATATAATCTCATTGTTATTTTCCACAATTTCAGCTTTTATATCATCGTCCGTTTTGATTTCTGGCCGTCCCAAGCTTGGCATAATCACTTTGAGTGCACACGTTGCTAAACAATCCAAAATATAATGACAAACAAAACCAGCACCTTGCATTAATTTATTAGCAGGGAAATCGGTGGAAATATCCTAGACGAAAATTCATTCAATTATTATTCATTAGAAATGAATGTCAATTTTCATATGACGGAAAAAATTCTCACCAGCTCTTGAAGTAGTTGCATAATTTTCGATACCAACACTGTTGGATCCATAAACTCTTCGGGTTGATCGAATTCTTCACCCATTTTTCGGGCACAGAAGGCACACAATGATGTGAACATAAAAAATTGCTCACCCGGATTCGTTGAGTTCAAAAAATAATATCGACTCAATGGTTTCATTTTCATTTCTTTCAACAATGTACCATCATAATTCAGTAACTTCAATTTTTCCATCTGAAAATAAAAACAATGCGAGAAAATCAATAAAAAAACTTGAGACAAGTATTTATTTTATTTCGGAAAATTACCATGTCATCCAATTTGTACTGCGAAACGTATCGCATGTAATTTTTCTCGTCTATTGCTTGAAAATTTGGTCGTTGCATTTTACTTATTTTTCAAACGAATTCAATGAATGGAATTTTTATGAAGCGAAAAAGAATAACAAAAGCTTCGTTGTTACATAAACATATTTGTTGTGTGTATAAAATCGCATAGCCATAGCAACCAAACCTTCAGTCAAAAGAGTAAATGTATTCCTTGCAGCCGTTTTCTTTTCTTCAAAAATATCCATATAAAATTCACATTTAATGCAAAGATTTGAACTTTTATATCATTTTTCATTCAAAACTCGAATAGAGCCGGCTTTAATCAGAGTCAAAAATGGGCAACAAAAGCATTTTCCCCGTTTTTCATTGACCACTTTCTTCGTGTATAAATCAGCCTTAATATCAACATCAATCCGTTTACTTTCAGTAGATGGCGTGACTGACGCACTAAAAAGACAAATATATTGATTTATTAGAGCGCAATCAGAAAATAAAATGAAAATGATTTATTGTTTGAAATGTTATGACTCTCTCTAGGTTCGAATATATGACGAATTAGAGTAATGCATTTTCAGACGACTATGAAATGAAACATTTTTTTTTTTTAATTTTTCAGAGTTGTTTTGAAACTCTGCGCTGACTTATTTTGATTTTTTTGTTTTATTACAGTCATCCGATTGTCCTTGAGAAAATGATTTTAATTTGTACTTGCCAAAAGTGTGTGTATTTGTATTTCAATTTATTGACGCAACGCTATGAAAACTGAATCAAAATCCGACACCATATAATGAGACCAGTGTGTCTGAGCGAGTGAAAAAAAATCATATTTCTCATCTGTTGTTGATATTATTTATGATATTTATCTATAGATATAGTTGATATACTTCCCCCGCCAAAAAAGAAGAGACCAAAGTGAGTGAAAGAGAAAGAGAGTGTACGAGAGAAGAGTTCGAACGATAAGCCCATAAGCAATTATAATGATCCGCACGACAAAAATATATTGCGATAATTAAGTTTATGTGAATTTAATTTTTATTTGGTACAAGTGATACCATAAAATCCTGAATTTTTTTCTGTTGTATCTTTTCCATTCGACTTTTTCACTCGAATTTAGCAAAGATGCAAAGAGAACCATTACCAAATGTGTTGAATAAAACGCCTAATGAAAAAATTCGTATCAAATTATTATTTGCTTAAATTTCATCTTATCTCTATGATCTTGAGTGAATTGAATAAAAACAAATGTCTATCACGAATAATTAAAATGCTTGAAAAAAACATGATACAACAATGTTAAACCATTCCAGCAACAAAAACATTTTAATGAAGAAACGTGTACGAATAATAAATCAAATTGACTACATAGCGCCAGATAAAACGATTTGGGAATGCAAATCATCACTTTGAAGATGGAATGTCATCATGGGCGATTTGACGTCGATTGATTTCATTCGATTCATCAAAATTTGATTTGGTCACACATAACAGATCAAATGACTCCACCGCATCCGTATCAGTTGGCCGCTATAAAATCAGTTTGTCTATTTAGTCATTTTCGGTGTACAATCGAATGTATGCGGATCTCGTCTCCTCTCATCGTTGGCTTTATTTTTATTACATTTATTGACCGCAAATAAAAAAAAAGAACCGTAGAAATGTAAAACAATCATTGAGAATAATAATAAAAATTATTTTTTTTTATTTTGTTTTGTTTTGCGGCCAAGACATTTCACATTTTCAATCAAAGTAAATTCGGCACTTCAGATCGAATCATTAATGGAATGATTTAGTCAGTTTGGCATTGATGGCTATGGATATTTTTTTCCCTTCGACAAGAATTAAATTCTCATGCAATAAAAAATCGTGAAGTCGGTAAATTAATGTGAACATGAACTTAAGCACTCTCTGACAAATTCATCAGTCTCATCAAACGACTTAATCGGCAAAATTCATTGCAAAAAGAAATCGTATTTCTTTCCATTTGTTTGAATTTTGACATCAATAAATGTAATCTTGTCGAATGGATCATCGTCGTCAAATGCATTCTCCACTCCCAAAAAACAAAAAAACAAAAAGTTCACATGATATATGTTTTTATGTTCATGAAATGTGTTTTTGTTTGCTTTCTTTTCCACAAGAATATAATTTATAGGAAAAGACTATTTCTTTTTTCACGCGCACATAATCTTCCGTCGTGTTGTTTTCTCTTCAGTTTTATAATTCGGTTGGTGTTGTGGTCCCATCGTTCAAATCGAATTTGCTTGGCTTGGCGATTGTTTATTGCACTCAAGCATATTTACCAAGCATAAATACATGTAAAAAAAAATAAACAAATAATATAAATTATATTGTTCATTAATTAATGTGGAATATTTACGCGCTGCCGAAATAATCATAAAAAAGAACCGAAAAAAAACCTCACCAACAGCAGAAGCAACACCAAGTGAGAGCCATAAGTTTTATTGCCGATGCTCTTACTTGAAAAACGTGCAAATGAGTGTGTTACAAGTCGGTGACCAATTTGATTGCTGTTATTTCGATTCAATAAAATAGACGTACGCGCCTTTTTGTAGTGGTTGGATTCTAATTTCCAAATTTTCCCCAAGAACAAAATAAAAGTGAGGCCACCATCTCGTGACAAATGGAATTGAATTGCATGCATTCAAACAGCAAAAAAAAGAAGAAAATGTCCGTTCAAGAAGTCAGAAAATGCAAAGAAAAATAGCGGCCATCGTTGGTATTCATTTTTACATGATTTCATTTTCGGCAATTGCTTTTATTGTTATATTGAAGGGAAGACATACACAAAACTACAAAAGTTGTTGTATTTTTTCCGCTGCTACCACAAACCAAATGCATTGCCCAACACCATTTACCAAACGATATAAATATTGTGTGTATATGCGCGCGCGCTTGTGTGCGTATTTATGCTTCTTGTTCTTGTTGTGGCTCAATCGACTTGTTTGCTTTTGGAACTTGTTGAAATTAGTATTGTTTGGGGCGTAATAATAATAAATTTCAATTTTGTGCTATAACTTTTACACTCTCTCTGTGTGTTCAGTGTGCGTTCGCATCACAAATAAACACACAATAATTTTTGTTGGCTCATTTTAGTTGTAACTGCTGCTTTTTTTATTTAGCTTTTGTTTTTATAACTCCTCAGTGTTGTGGATACCGAAAAATCTTCTTCTTCAGTTGATACGCATCGACACTCATCGGTGATGCATGAAAATTAGACGCTCCAAAACTATAAAAAAATATATACACACTTACAAATGTGAACACATTCATTCAATTGCACACGATGTGTATTTCGTTACAATTTATGAAAATAGAAAATCTGCTTGCAAATTGGTCCAAAGTGCATTCAACGAACTGAATGAATGTGAATGTATGTGTGTATTAAAGAGAATCGTCATTTGCTTAATCGTCATAACAATAACAATAATACATAATTTTTATATGGTTTGTAGTTTATCCAAAGTGTGTAAATTTACTCCATTCGTTTGTTCTTTTTTTTGGGGTAAATGTTACTGCTGCTGGAATATTCACCAGTCTATAAATTTGAATACACATTATGAAGTGATACAATCGTTGACATAACACAAATGGCAATTTATAGTAAATGGCAGACGCAATAATTTGCTTTTTGTTTCGTCTTTAAAAAAAAAGGTAAATAAATGACATGCTGTCACTGTCAACTATATAGCCGCAGCGTACATGAAATCACATCATAACCATATAGAAAATTGGTTAAATCACATCATAACCTAATGGCTAAATTACACGTACACGGTGGCGCAAATGCGAGAGAAAGACACAAAAACGAGCAGTTCACAATACGAATTTTTTTAATTGCCATTTAACATCATAATAGTAAATTTTTATCGAGTCGACATTTTACAAGGCACCATTTAGTAATTAATATGTGTTGGAATCTATTTGCGGGAATCATTATGGGGCGACGGTTTTTTTTTTTGTTTTGGATTTGTATGCAAATTTTGCTCTTTTTTCATCCAATCAATCGATCAATAAATTATATTTTCGTTGAAAATTTTACGGTTTTTCGATCATTTCATGATTGAATCGCAGCATTTCATCCATCAAAGTTTATTTCATGCATTCAAATAATTCGTATAAAGTTGGCTGGGTAAGATGGCCGTTTCGTGAACGAAAGAGAGAATTAAATGAGCAACCTAAGCAGGAATGCTTAAACAATCAAGATGATTGCTGGGCACTTCGAAACCGTTGAAGATTACTTTGAATCGTTATAAAAGAGGGTTAACGCTAATTAGTGATCATATACACAGACATCAGACGATCGAGAAAAACGGCCTTATCTTCATTTTGTGCCGTTGACCAGCGTCTGTTTTTTTTTATATATATTTTTTCTATACATTATACATTAAAATTCTTTATTTTTTCCAACATGCCACTTAATTCGAATGAATCAAAAGATAGAGAAAGAGAGCGAGAGAGAGGAACAAAATTATGTGCATATAGAGAGAGGCATGTTTTGTGTGTGGCTGCCATTTTGAAAAAGGCATAAAAAGAAATACAGCTGGAGCCATTCTCTCTATTGAAACCAGTTCGCTTTTATCGTTCTGCGTGTGTTTTTTATATTGCATTTTTTTTATTTCCACATATTTTTTTTTTTGTTTCACTCACAGTCGTTGCACTCGTTAATCGCTCGCGCGCTCATGAAATGCAATATGCACGCAAAACAAGCTTCACGCTTGCCTCGAGCCCACTTTTGTTGAAACAAACAACAACAACAAAAAAGTACAACAACCAACTGCTTCAATGGTGGAAAATTGCATATCATTTGTAAGTAAATCAGTCTAAAATACCAAAGTCGTTTGCAAAAAAAAAAAAACTGAAACAAATGCATGTAGTTAGTATGCATATTTGTTGAATTGAGTTTCATCTCATTAAAGTATAAATAAAATGTAATGAATTTAACTCTCTTGGATAAATAGCATATTCGTAGAACAATTTCGAAGGATTTCAAGTTACTTCAAGAATCATCGTTGTTTTGTTGCTTTGTGCATGAGATTTTTTTTTGCTGTTCAGTTTCTGTGTTTTGTGTTTCTGTTGCGAATTAAGTTTCGGTTGAGTTGTTTTACGGTGTTTCAGATATTTGAGCGAGAACAAAGTATTTGGTTG